CTAATCTGGGAATTCGGGGAGGGGGATGGAAGGAAGGGCACATCACCCTGTAGGCCGGGGTATTCACAAAAGTCTTCAGGTCATTGCAGAAAGGAGAGGTAAAGTAATAGAAATAAAATGATGAAAACAAAGTTCCCGAGACGGGGCTTCTACCAACTTGAACTACTTAAATGCTTCTTGATGCTAAATATACACGTGAAGAAAATGTAAGTTGCTGGAGTGTAAGCGTGGTATATAAACGTTCTATTTGAAAGTTCACATACTTGTAGATGCACACACATCTGTAAGGGTATGTATTCTATCAGTCAAGTGTTCCTGGGTGTAAGCAACAGAACTGCCTCTAATGCTAGGACAACACAGGGGTCTAACAGCATCAAATGGAAGGCCCAAGAGGCAGGTGGGAAAGAACGGGGATCTGGGAGATCCTGTGGGCTTCGCTGCAGAACCCACTGAAGTTGCCCTGGACTGTAAACAGTCTAAACACCTGCTCTATCCTCTGGTTGCTCTGACTGATATGTAACAATCCAGGAGAGAGTCTAGTTGGTTTGGCTTTGTTCATGTGCTCAACTCTTGGCTGGGGAAAAAGAGTATTCTTTATCTTACATTCCCCAAAGACTACCCAACAGGGTACACAGAATTCTCAACAAATGCTCCTCCCCACAGCAGGTGGTAGGGTGCTGGGCAGCTGAAGAACCGCAAACCACCACCACGCACACCACATCAACTCTGGGCCCCTCTGGGGAGGGGGAACCTACGATGCTCCTCTGGGATGGTGGGATTGTTAACACTGCATCATGATTTGGTGAGCTTGCTAAAAATAAAAACAAAAACAAATATTGGCTCCTCAGGAAAAATGAGTACACAAAAAGAGAAACCCACATATATTCAATGTATGTCGATTTATATACGTATATATATGCATAGATACAACTATATATACACAACTATATACACACACACATACATCTATATGTGTATGCATATACACGAAAACATAATCTCTTTGAACAAGAAATCAAAATGATGCCATCTGGTGACTCTGGGGTACGGTGCAATATCCCCAGTGTTCTGATGGGCATTATTATTAGGTCCATCGGGGAAAATCATATACCTGAATTTAGCTTGAGGTCCTGAAGCTCATAAGGGAAGCAACCACAAGATTATCAGAGAGGCTGAAAGAGGGAAGAAACAAAAACATAACCTTGCATAGCAAAGCTCCAACGAACACGAAGAAACTCAATGTCAAGGCTACCAATTAAACCAACAAAACCAGAACAGGAATGCATCCCACAAGAGCCTAAACAGGGTACGGTAATTTAGGCTGAGAATGTTTAAAGACATAAATGAAAAGTTACACTTCCATTAAAAAAGAACTGTAAATTATGTAAGAAAAAGAAAATCAGTTGGACACAATCAATTCAAAATCACAGAAATGAAAAAGATAGTTTAATATTTAAAATGCATTAAACAGAGTAAGGTAGATATAGTAGAATGAATAAGTGAACTGGAAGACAATACTGAAATCACCCAAAATGCAACACAAACCCCTCCACTTACATGTCTAATAGGCACGTCAAATACTTTTAGCTAAGGAACCCCATGTCAAATCACATCTCTGCTGGAATAAAGAGGTCACAGCACAGCCACTTCGGTTCAAGTGGAGACGGCAGGACTGATCTGTGTTGCTAAGTGAGCGCTGAGGTCTGACTTGGTAATTGTGCTCTCTTAACAACTGCTACAATCTTCCACTTTTAAAAACAAGTATTACCCCAACTAAATAATGAGCATGTTGAAGACAGAAGCTGTTTTATTCTCCTATCCAAGCTCTCAACATGTATTTGATTTTGGTTATGCTTTAATGAATTACAATATAAAAAAATTCAGTTCAATCAGACTAGCCAGAAACTAAATGTTTCAACAGTACACTACCACAGAACCAGATTTGTATTTAACAATGAGGTAGGTTCAACTCAAGAAGCAAGACAAGGCACAAAATAATCCAAATTAGGTAGAATTCTAGAAACTAAATATAAGAGCAGAAATTAATGAAATAGTAAACATGGTGCTCAATAACTACCAGAGCCTAGTTTTTAAAAAATACCTTTGGCAATCTCATTAAGAATGCAGCTCCATTACTTGAACAATGATTAAAAAAAAAAAACTTGAACAATGATTAAAAAAAAAATGCAGCTCCTCACCCAAAGAAAATATTAATAGCAAAAAAGTGGTCATAACTGGGAAGACTTTATGTACTCTCACTAAATATGACACATACTATGTCATCTCATTTATGGGTATAGATAATAAGTTCTAAACAAATTAGCAAGTGTTACAAAACATTCATAAATGGGTTTTACACCAGTTACTGAAGGATAATTCAACATTAGAAAATATATTAGCCCCATTCACTGCATTAAAATAAATGAAAAACTATGATTATTTTCTAAATCTTCAAAAACTCATTGGATAAATTCAAAACCTACCCCTTGTGGGTGGGGGGAGAGGAAGAGATCCTTTAGCCAAGAAAAGGAAATTTCCGTAATTTAATAAAGCCTATCTACTGGGAACTCCAGCAGCCATCACACTTATTTCCCACGGCACTCAAGAAAGAAACAAGGATGCCTACATAAGATCCGTTATTAAAAATGAGAAAAATGCACTTTCAGATAAAATAATCATCTAGAAAATCCCAAACTTAAAAACTATTTTGACTAGTTGAATTCAACAAAGTCACTAGAGAGAAAACAAAAATAATCTGCTCATTATTGATAAAGAATGCATTTAAGGAAATGTAATAGGAATTTTATAAAGAGAATTAAGAGTAGTTTTTTAAAACTAGAGGAATAAACTTTTTTTTTTAATCCTCACCTGAGGACATGCTTATTGATTTTAGAGAGAGGGAAAGGGAGCGGCGGGGGGCGGGGGGGGGAGAGAGAAACATCCATCTGTTGCCTCTTGCATGTACCTCAACCGGGTACTGCACTTGCAAACCAGACAGATGCCCTGACCAGGAACTGAACCAGCAACCTTCAGGTTTACAGGATGACGCTCCAACAGGGCAACGCCAACCAGGGCTAAAGGAATAAACCTTAAAAAGCACACAACACCTAAATGGAAAAATTTCATTTTACTGAAGGACATAAAAATCCTGAATAAATGGAAACACCATGATCTGGATAAAAAGCTGTCATATTTTAAAAATATATATTAATCCTTCCCACACATTAACCCAGAAAATCAATGAACACTGATCAAAATCCCAGGGGAACCTTCCGGTACTTGGTTTTCCAGAAGGTGAATCTCACATTAAACAAAATAATATGTGGAAAAAAATATTTAAAGATTTTATTTTATTTATTTTTAGAGAGAGGGGAAGAGGGAGAAAGGGGAAGATAAACATCAATGTGTGTGATTGCCTCTTGTGCACCCCTATTGGGGACCTGGCCTGCAACCCGGGTATGTGCCTTGACTAGGAATTGAACCAGTAACCCTTTGGTTCACAGGTCCATGCTCAATCCACCGAGCCACACCAGCCAGGGTGAAACAATTTTTTTCAATTGAAAGAACAAATGGGCTATTGACCCATCACATATGATACAAAGCTACACTAGCCAAGAGTTTTCAGTAAGAGAAAACTCATGGACAAATCCTGGATACTGTTATTGAGCTGTAGAACACTGGAGGAGGTGGGGTGGGAGCAGTGGATGGAGGATGAGTTTCATTGAGGTCCACTAAATGTGAGACACCCATTACACCTCTAAGTGGAGATGGACAGACAGCTAGATGTGTGGATCTGGAGCTTGAGGAGTGGTCTGGGCTACAGAGAAACATTTAAAACCATGTGATTCCACGGAACTCTTACTAGGCCTTTAGTTTTCTTCCTGTGAAATTATGTAGTTTGCAAGTAAATTTCATAAGTTCACCCATTACATTTGTTTTCTAAGGAAACAGGCAGAGGTATGTTTGGATCAATTTCGTAGAGAATTAAATAATTTAACATCTGTACTTCTTTTATTCCTGTACTAATATTTTCTTCACTATTTTAGAATACACCTTTAATATCATTTTCCTTTAAAGTAATTAATATACCTTAATCTCCTGTAAGGATGCACAGCCTCTGACATTCAAATATCCTCTCATTGTTGGGAAGGCTTCACTTCCCCTCGAATGCCACCCTGGCCTCTAAGACGACGAAGGCCAGACCCCAAACCAGCTTCACAACTCTGACCTCCACCCGACTCTGGGAGAACTTGAGAGGTTCATGAAGTCTTTGTTCCAACCCCAGGACCTCTCCTCACCTCCAACGCATTCCTATGGTCTTCATCATATGCTCTTGCATTTTAAACATTCAAATCTACTTCTCAAACTATATAAACCCACTAAGAGTTTATACTTGAATCAATTTCCACTCATAAACCCCCAAATAATGCAGTATTGCTAATATATTTTGTTTTCTACACCAAAAGTACATGATCAAAACTCAACTGCAAGGTAAACCAGTTCCATTCAAATTAACAGGACTCACTCCACTGTCAACCTTGAGTACCAAACCAGGAAAAATGGGCAAGTCAGAATGCAGTCCGGCTGTGAAGAGAAAGCACCAAGGTGCAAAGAGCAATGATGGTTCATCAGAACCAATGAGGCGGCCACCCCACAGGTCACACAAGCCCTGCCCAACGCAGCACTTTCTCCACTGCCAGGCCGCCAGCTGTAGGGTTTAGCTGTACTGCCTCCACGAGGGTCACCCAGGCTGGCGGGGAACGCCATTCCTTATTCCCAAAACTGCTCTCATTAAACATGAAGTAGAAGACTGGTTTATAGTAACCCATCAAATATGTGACCTCAACCAACCAGGGCAGAGTGAAAACTCCACATGTAAACATGCAAACACACACAAACATATATGCACACTTGCACATGCACACTCCAGACAATATGGCCTGGCATGCCATACAAAATGATATGTACACTATCAAACAATCTGAATTAAGAAACTAGGATTGTTACCACCACCATTTATTTATCTAGTGCATAACTAAGTATAGAACACTACAGCAGTGCCAGAGATGCAGAGAAGTCCCTGCCCTTATGGGGCTTACAATCTTATTAGGGAAATATAACAGGCACATAAAAAGTTGCTCTATAAGCAAGCATATGCTAACAAATGCCACAAGAATTCAGAAGGCAGCGTAGTTTAAGAACACAGCGTTGTCACGAGACCCAGTCCCAACATGGCCAGTTAACATCTCTGGGTTTATTACTTCAGCTGCAAAATGAAGTAGCAAGATTTCAAGGTTGTCTGCATTTGTTTGCATCATGATTCTGATTAAAAGCTGAGGAAGGTTTGGTGGTGTAGGTGGCACCTGAGCTGGACACTGAAAGGAGAGAGAGAAGGCATTTCAGACCAGGACAGCGGGGCTGAGGTAGGCGTAAGCATGGAGTTTGGAGGGGAGAAGACAAGCATCACAGGAACCACGGGAGTGAGGTAAAGGGGTGGCGGTGGTGGCCCTCGGGCACTACCGACACAGTATGAACTGTATTCCTCACACTTACACCCAGTTACAGTACATGATTCCAGAGAGGTGGAAATACAAAGAATGGCAGCGTTTTATCAAACATTTCACTTAATTTCCAGAAAATAACATTATACCTCTGACATCAATAAATTGTTCCAATCGTCAAAATGTAAACCAATTCAAAGTTTACATTCTTAGTAAATATAACTAACTCTTAATTCAAAAGGACATTTGATATAAATTATATCATCCCAATAATTCCAACATACATTTTCTACTACATTCCATTTACTGTGAAAATGAAAATGAGTAGGACGAGGTCTCTGCTCTTGAAGAGTACACATCCTGGCAGGCGAGACAAAATCAGCTATGCCCACCTAGACGCACTGTGACGCACAGCACAATCAAGGTGCGACCCACTATGGAGTCAAAAGGTACATTCCTCCTTTCTGAAGGAGTTTCACAAAGGCTTGAGGGAGAAAGGCCAATGGCTCAAGGAGAAATGAATCTGGCAAGGAGGAAGTGCAGAGGGCACGTGGCTACAGACAGGGAGCATGACACGGTCAGGGCCTAGCACAGGTACGGTGTGGCTGGAGCAGAGTGTGAAGGCAAAAACAAGTGCTCTGGAAGCCTGGACTTCGTCCTATACAATGTGGAGATACTGCTTGCTTTAATCCTCTGCTAAACCTGGTTTGTAAGGTCAGGAAGAGACAGGAAAGAGCAGGGAGGCTGTAAGCTCTTCTCAGCAAATGACACTGTTCAAGAAACCTACCCCCACCCCCTCCTTTCCTCTTCTTCCTCCCCTTTATGATCTGCAAGTTTTCAAAATGGAGCTGGAACTTGACAGGCATAGGGAGGGGCCAACAAACAGAACTAGAAATGCATACATTTGGCTAATCAAGTTACCACAAGGTAATGGTAATTGTATTGCACAGAAGAAAACTAATTCTTTTTCAGGAGTTTTCTAAAAGTACCTAATGTACAAAGTGTTGGAAAATCTCATTCAATGTGGGGGAAAAAAATACAACCCTGGCAGAATAGTCCATTTCCAAAACTATTTTTGATTAAATATCAGTGTTACAAACACAATACCATAGGTCTTCAAAGCCTATCTTCCCACAATCAAGATCTGACCAAAATTGCATTGCTTGGCTTAAAAAAATAAAAAGATACAATGTGTACTTCCAAGTCTTGGGTTCTCAGCTACTACCACGAATAAACTGTATAATGAAGAACATGCGGTGAAAGGCAGATGGAAATAAGCCATCCCTTTAGGATAGATGCTAAATTCCAATTTCTTATAATATTATAGAACCGATTCCACAAAAGTAACACCTTCCTACAATTTCACTTTATCATGAAGATACTAAATCTGTGCGTTTTATTCAACATTCATTCTTAAATTACAGTTATGCCAAAACAATCTGCTTCTAATGAAAGAAATCTTAGCATGACCCTCAGAACATGCATATACATTTAGTCAGATCATCTACATTTGTAAATAAATTACATGCATGATACACATTAACCAATAAAGAATACCAATATGAGAATTCAGGACATTTATTTTTCTGCATGGAGATCAAACTACTATACAACACATACACGCACACACACACACAACAAAACCATAAAGCAATGGTGTGTAAAGGTAGTGAGAGACTTAAAATAAGCATATTTAAAATGCTTAATAACAGGCTTTTTTTCTTGTTAGGCAATAAAATATTTTCAGTCCTTGACACCTTCTCACACTCACCTAGCACCACAGATGCAAGGACCTCGAGTAAACATGTACAATCTCATGCTTAAAACCTAAAGCATGCATTCAATAGAATTTATACATAATGATCTACTCTACTAAGTATGCAATACATACTTCTAATATTCTATACATTAAATTACCCTGCAGCATTTTTAAATTTCAACATTTATGCAAAACAACTTTGAAACAAGTTTTCCAGGATCACCTTCAGACTTTTTACACAGGCATTGGGTTGGTTCAATGGGAAAGTGGCAGCAGCCTCAGGTTCATACTGAATGAAAATGGTCTGTGTGCATGTCAATCCATGTAAAAAATACATATATACATAGATGGCACAAAGATTTGTGCGGTTGGAATCGCCAGTGCAAATGCATGCATTTGAGGTACCCATTTTTTTCTATGGTCAGGTATAATTATGCATAGTCATGTTCCTCAAGTGCTATATATTTCAGACCTGATTGAATGAAAACTGTAAGAAGAGTAAATATGAGATATTTATACAGTTAATTTCAAAGTGCTATGCTTTTAATGGACGTTTAACGTTATCCATACACATATTTAGTTTAAAACATTTACCAACCAATAAATTTTCTCATTGTAAAGAGGCTGACTGGTAATTATACCTGGCCAAATGATTTAAATAGCATACTTGAAATTCTAGCAAGAACTGTAGTGAAACAGTAGAATACTTCATTATTGCTTCATTGGACTGAGAAACCTAAAAGGCATAGAAAAACAATGCTCGATGAAAAGTGAATACCCAGAACAGCGGTGCATGCCCCATATGGCCTCTGTCCAATAAAAACTAAGCACTGTCCACATTATCAATGCTGTTGGCACCCACGTGGATGCCAGGCTCCCCACACAAAGATGCGGGAACAAAGCGGCTAGCAGTGGGGCACAAACAGCTCTTAAGCTCTGGCAACTCTTGCTTCAGGCGTTCCAACTGCTCCACTTGGAATATATTTGGCTGTTCGGGCATCCAATCATATATCCTATGATGAAACAAACACAAAACACGTAAAATAGGGTAATTTTATGGCTTCCTCAGACCAGTCTGACTTAACCTCTTAGAAGAATTTGTTTACTGAATGCCTAGAACACCCATCTTTTTTTGAAGATGTAAGCATTGGTTCTATATAAAAATATTTCTCTTCTCCCAGTCTTGTTCCCTGATGCAAAAGAGCTGATTAGAAAAGCAACTAAAACAGAAAATGAAACCTGCAGCTTACTCATGATTTTTCAAGTATCTTCTCTCCAAGGCAATCAATTAGCAATGTCCTATTTTACAAACAGGAAGCTATTTAAGATGCAGAGTTGGAATTAATACCCAGTTCTGACTTCAAAGCACAAAGATCAAAATGAGAGCTTCTCACCTGTGTGAGAACTATGCTAAAGCTGTGTGGTGGTGGCAAATGTGCCCAGAATCAAAAAGCCCCATGTGAAGATGGCAGCACTGTCACTGCACACCAGCAGAGAGATGGCCTTTTATGCCTAAATGTGAAAGCCAGGCAACTTATATGGGGCAGTACAAGACACGCTTTATGGCGTCACAGGGGGGAAAATTTCATAAACAAGATTAAAATATGTACTGACTCTATTAAATATCTGACTATTATAAAACAAAGATGCCTGTTAATTAAAGACATATATACAAGAATGAAAAGTGACCTTTGGGTCATGGTATCAGACTGAACAGAAGCATCTAACTTTACTTTCTCCCACATCCTGTGAAAAATAAAGCAAAGGGATATAAATACACAAACACATCTGCCCTGACTGATGTGGCTCAGTGGGTTGGGTGTCGTCCTACCACCCAAGAGGTCACCGGGGTCACTGGTTGATTCCTGGTCAGGGCACTGCCTGGGCTGCAGGCCAGGTCCTCAGTAGGGGTGTGTGAGAGAAAAGCGATCGTTCTCTCACACACCAGTATTTCTCTCCCTCTCTTCCTCTCTCCTTTCCCCTCCTCTAAAAAGATGGTAAATAAAATCTTTAACAGAAAAAAACCCACGGGTATGGGAAAAACCAGACAAAACAACAAACTTTTGGAAGCTGGAAAAGAGATGGGTAAGTACAGTGTTTCAGATAGCAAAATAGAAATGGCAAAATCACAAGCCAGAAGTGGAAAAAATGAAAAGTTAAAAAATAAAAATAGTTTGGTGCCAAGTTAAAAACAGCCCAGATTCCTCCAAAACTGGGAGTGAAAGGGAAAGGCGCTGAAACAGGGCAGGCAGGGTGAAGGCTTCAAGCAGCAGTAAGTTAACTCCCTTTCTCCGGACTCCCTGCCCTGGAGGCTGCCCCCTACCCCACTAAGGTTATTTCAAGAATTAAACAGGAAATCTCCTCAAATGGAGGACAAGACCAAGTGAGGGCTTGGACATTTTACAGAAGCTCCACCAGCACCAGGGTAATTAGAGATAGTACAAACATATAACTAAGTGCTACACACAGAGACAAGCCCTCCCTTCCCCAGTTCTCTCCCCTCACTTGGCTCCTAGAACCCTGGGAGCCAGACCTGGGTCTGGATGTCCAACCCACAGCCTGAGGGCCACATGCAGCCCAGGATGGCTGTGAATGCGGCCCAACACAAAATCAAAAATTTACTTAAAACATGAGATTTGTCATTACATGTCACAATGTATTTAATATGTGGCCCAAGACAACTCTTCTTCCAGTGTTGGGCAGACACACCAAAAGTCTGGACACGCCTGCAAGGAGTTTATGTAGATTCTTCTATGAGCAATCTGACCAGACAAAAAGTAAAGTTCAAAATCTAGTGACATCAGGGATATGACCCCACAGGCCACCCAGATCACTCATAGTGAAATTCAAGTTTAAATAAACTCCAAGCTTCCAACAAGTGTTTTAGATTTCAAAACCTATGAGGAAAACATGGAAGGTAGGAGCAAAAGAGAAGAAAATTCCCAAAGAACAAACAAAAAGTCCTTCATGCTTTCAGAGAAATAGTGTCAAATGAAAACATGACATTACAGACACAGAAAAAAAGAGAATTCCGGGGTGGGGAAGACAGTTCTTGGAAATTAAAAACTCAATAGCAGATGTGAAAACCTCAACAGAATGGGCAGAAGGTTGAAGAAATCTTTCAAAATGGAGCAAAAACACAACGATAGAAAAATTTTTAAAAAGACAGAATTAGAAGTCTGGGCCATGAGTGTATTATAATATGCAAACAAAATTATTTATAAGGGAAAAAATAAAACTAGAAAAATGGAAGGGACAAAAATAGAAGAAATAATTCACGTAATTTTTCACATTTTCAAGGACATATATCAATAGGCTGAAAGGCTACCAAACGCGGAGCACAATGGGTGAAACCAGACCCGTAAGACTCATCTCTGGAATTTTAGAAAACTGGTGACGAAAAGAAGACTCTATAAGCTTCTTGACAGGAAACAAAAAAACACCTGTGAGGGAACAGGAATCAACATGGTTTATGCTCCTCAACAGCAACACTGGAATTATGAAGGTAACGGAGAAATACTTTGAAAATTCTACAGGAAATGATTCTAATGTGGAATTTTATGCCTGGCCATAATGCTTGTAGATGCATTTGTCTATGTATGTACTGGGTTGCAATGTAAATTCATTTCTAATTGGGTTGGGGTCAGAAAGGTTTGAAAGTCACTGCCCAAGAGAAAGTTTACACGTATATTCTAGGAGACCTGGTCAACAATATCTACAGCAAATATAATGGCAAAAACTTCACAACCACCGAAATGTTCTCCAGTAGTAGGATAAATTATGGTAGACACATACAACCATGAATATTATACAGCCACGAAGATGAGTAGATTATAGCTACATGCAATGAAAGTACAAATAAAGATTAAAGCCATGCAAAACTAAATGGTATATTAAGTGACAGAAATAGAAGAAATTTTAAAGAGAGTAATAATTTGACAAGCAATTACATCTGAGGGAGGAGATAAGGGAATAGAGTTAGAAAGAGGAACACAGGGGACTTCAAAATGCAGTGATGTTCTTTAAAGGTGGGTGTCTATACAGTATTTTTAAAAACTATTTGAGTAGGCACATTAATTCTTTACTTTAAAAAGAGGGTACACTGGCCAATTTACTCTATGAAGCAAGTATTATTTCCACACCAATATCAAACCATTTGGAGAAAGGTAAATTAAAGGCCATCTTAGTGATTATCATAAATGCAAAAATTCCAACTATCAGCAAATCAAACGTACCGGTTTATATGATAATATATCACAAAACCACGATGAAATGGAAATCTACTGTGTTAAATCCTTTGTAAAAGAAGAGAACAAATTAGTTTCTGATAAACTAAAATACCCATCCTCATCACAATTCTCCCTGGTATACCAGAAGGAATAGCTAAAATTAGGGCACAAAACCTCAGCTAGAGACAACGAAAGGGATATGTGTAGGGAATGCTTTTTTTATTCTTAAGCTTTAAGTCTTATAGAAATATTTAAATTTTTAAACTGTATATGTAATTTTAAAGCCATATGTGTGGCTTTAAAAAAAAAGCCATATGTATTTATTTATATAAATAAATAAAGCCACACATATGCACATATATAAAGACACACATATGCACATATATAGTTATATATACATATACACACAAGTTATTTCATTAAAACTAAAAAATCATTTTCAAGGATAAGAATCAACTCTAACACAATCCACCTCCTCACCTGTCATCAGACCCTAGCAGGAGCCCAGAGCTGGGTATCTCCTCAAAATCCTCCACACCTTTAACACAGACACACCCAATCCATGCTCTAGCCTCTGCCTAAAATGCAAATCCTGTCAAAGCACACTTCACCACACCCCAAAATCCACCTAATGCTTCTTTAAAATTACTCATATTGACCCCAGGTCAGGAAGAACTCATTTTCTTTAGGGCCCTTTATATCACAGAGCACCCTCCTGTCCTCCATTACACGTCAGTCAGTATTTGGCTCCAACCAAGTTAGGCCCTTGAGATGGAGAGGCTGCCTAGACTGTGTGTACCCTACCAAGTCATTCCATGTTACCACCTCACATTTTCTTGTCTGAAAATATCTGCAATCATTTCTTCCTCTTCTTCAACAAAACAAAGAAATATTCTTCAAAATTTTGCTAAAGCAAAGACTTCCTTAAAATTGATTTAAAATTTGAATTTTCCTTTAAATAGTTGGAAATGTCTATTAAAAAGAGCTATGAAACACATTGCTCAAAGCAAAATTAATAGTTAAGAAGAAAGGCAGGTACTATCTGGGCTGCAATTTTAAAACCAGACTCATTCAAACAAAATAGTAGAAAAAAAAGTTTTATTAAGAAAGTGACATAACTTTATAGGAGAAGTAGTAATACGAACTAAATCCAAGGAAAGTATTTTTAAAGGAGGCCTGGTAAGATTCCATCAGTTACCCTTTGCATGATGCTGCTCAAGTACTAGCAAGCAGAGTAAATGACATGCTTCCTACCCCATGTTCTTTATACTCAACAGCCCTTCTCAGTTTAGTGACTCTTAAACTTACATCATGAACACCCAGGGGGCTTATTAAAAAGGAAAGACTTGTTCAATAACTATTTTAACTCCTACTCTGTATCACACATTGTTTTAACCTTTGCACATACAACAATGAACAAAACAGGAAAAGAGTCTGGCCCTTATGGAGCTGATGATTGTATGGGGGTGGGGGAGCCAGGGAGAAAAAAAAGTAAAATATTGTATGTGAGATGGTAGTCAATGCTATGGAGAAAAGTTAGAAGTGCACTGTGAGTGGAGGTTGCTCTCTGAATTAGGATATTCAACAAAGGCTTTTTACTGAGATGTTGACATGGGGGGAGGGGTTGTAAGGATCTAGGATGTTACTCTAGGTGATGGAAAATGGTGGGAGAGTTTTAAGCAGTAACATGATCTGACTCAGGCTTTAACAAGCTCCCTCTGGCCACAGCACTGAGAACAGAGCAAGGGAGGGATGGGTGGAGGCAGTGGTCAGTGGGCAGGCTCCTTTAATTACTCACATGAGAAATGAGGTAGCTTAAAGGAGAGTGACAAGTGTAAACATGGTGAGTATATAGACTCAGGACATATTTAAAGACAGAATCAACTAGATTTTGTTGGACTGGATTTGGGATATGAAATAAAGAACAGAGTCATGCAGGACTCCAAGGATTTGGCCAGAGAACCTGGAAAGGCAGAGTTGTCATTTACACTGAAATCAGGAAGTCTTCAGGAAGAACATGGGTTGATAGCTGGATATAAAGGTTTAGCAGTCAGGGAAAAGGTCTGAGTAGGAGATACAAAAATTTAGGAATACATAAAGGTATGAAAAACCACAGCATTGGATAATATCAGCAAAAAAACTTGGTGTAGACAGAGAAGTTGTCTGGGGCAGCCAGCCACCCCCATGCCCAAGGTGACTTAGGGCCCAGTCACCTGAACAAATTTCCCGAGTGACTGTGGTATATTCCAAAGTTTGAAAAATTCCACTGACAAATGTTAAGAAAACGACAGGTTGAACTACAGCATTTTTACTAAGTTTAACATTATTTATAATTTTATAAGATGAAAGCTACTTTTTCCTTAACAGTTCATGAAAATTTTTCATGAAAAACAAGTACCTATCATAAATTAGACCATTAACTCCCAACTCCTTCAATTTCCTCCTGTTTTCGGGATCATTGGTATCATCACCCCAACAGAATATGACTAGTCCCTTTGCTTTTGCCTCTTGAATGTAGGATGGGTTTCTGAGCAGGTCTTCAGTATGTGCATTTATCCCCTAATGGAAGAAAAACAAATTACTGATGAAGAAGTAACTTTGTAACTGCAAATGCTAAACGGTCATACTCTAGATCAGTGCTCTCCACAGTAGAGAGGGCAGGGAAAGAAAATGTTACACTTTTTTTCTTATTCAACTTATTTTATCAAGTCAGTTCACATTCTAGCCATTTTAGACAATTCATAAAATCCGCTCAACTATAAAACTAAACTGCAAAATTACTTAACCTAGGTCTGCAAGACAGTATGTATTTTTGTTCCTGTTAGTGTTTTTGATTCTGAGATCCAATACCCTCATTTTTAAGTAGATCTGTTTGTTATATACATAGGTCACTACTAACCAATCAGATGTGTAGTGTAACTTAAAACCTTATTTACTACTGCTCTAAAACACATTTTTCAAAAAATTAAAATTAAGAAATTCAAACATAACTTACCAGTAGATTTTCAAACTGTGCAAAGCTCATTGCAATAGCAGTTGTTCGAGATCTGAGGTCCATGAGTTCAGGGTAAATATCAGACTTTCCTTGAGTCAAAAATAATATGGGGTATTTGTTCTGCTTGTGTCGAACCCTAAAGAGAGACAATTTAAAAAATACTTTTCATTGGAGACTATAATTATAATATATTGTGTTGTTACTTCAGGAAACACTAAATATATAAAGAAAACAAACCCACCAAAGCATAATCCCATTACTGAGATATAACCACCATTAACATGTACTAAAATACTAAATATTTTAATACATGTATATATATTGCCTTTCAGCCAAATAATTTAAACTACACAAGAGCTAAAATATTCTCAGAAATGGGCAACAAGAAAGCCCTTAAGGGCTACAATTTGAAGGAAGATGTCACATACAACACAGGGCGTGAGGCATTAGGACCCAGTGGGTGTGGAGTTCACAGGAGTGGAGGGCATCCCAGCGGGCAGTTCTCAAGGGAAGTGAGAGCATACACAACTTGACTTAGAGGACAGATAAGGGTGAAGTCTGGGTACTTCCCCATCTCCAACCATAACCTTTGTAACTCTAAGTCCTAGCTACAGTATAGAGGGAAAAAATGATTATTACTCACATTGTGCAAATATCTGCATCAAATGAAGAAAACACTATTCTCCTCTTCCCAGAATTTTCTAATACAGTTTTTAAAATTATATCCAAGAACAGATTCATGTCAAAATATGCTGATAAGTTACCATCCCACATTCCATCCTATGCAAGAAAAAAATAAACAAAAGCTATTAAAATACCCCAGAATCACAGTGCTAGAAAAACTCTTGAGAACATCTAGTCCAACTCTTATTTTATAGATGAGAAAAAGCAAAGTCCTGAAAAGATGAAGTGATTTGCCAATGACCACGTGGCTACTTAGCGACAGGGCAGCTACTGTAATTCGATTATAGGGACACTCATATGCAAAGGAATTATACTATCAATGGACTTTTGTTTTAATAGGTTAACAAAATAAAAACTAAAACCCTGGAAATCTGCCACCTACTAAGACTTGCAGACTTTAAGACATAAAGACTCCACTTCATTTGCTAACTCATTACCAAAGAAGCCCCTGGTAATTCTGAATTACTAGCACATTCTTTGGGTCTTACCCTGAAATATAGCTGAGATGCCAAGAGTCCTGTTGATATTCAAATACTAAATATTTTAATTAGAATATTCATTAAAATAAAATGAATTTATTCAGTAAAAAAAATCTAAAAGCTCAGAAAACAAAAAATTACCTTATCCTAAATGGCTTACTTAGAAGGCATGATTGGAGAGCAGTTGTAATTATTCTGAGCACAACAAATTCCAGGCTACTGTTCTGCTCGCCCAATCATACCTGAATGAACTGCCTCTAATGCCCTCCATCCCAACTAGTCCTCTTACCATGCATCCCACCCTTTTACACATCTCCCCACCTGATACATCCAACAGTTGTTCTCCTCAACTAGACTGTAAGTTCCAGGAAAGCAAGACTTTATTCTGTTTTGTCCAATGCCCAAAAAATGTCTGGCCCACATTAGCTTTTCAATATAACTACTGAACAAAAGAACGACTGAATCTGGGAGTGATTTAAAACACATTTGCAGAAATTTCTTTTCCTGGTTAATTATTGCTAGCTACTTAACAAAAACCTGCTTAGGAGATTACTTAAAGTATGTTTTTAGATAGCAGGATAGAACAAACACTAACCAGAGCTGTAGAGCTCTGACTGTCCAGGGCGCTCTCATTGCTCACCCTGTAAGTGTGCCTAGAAACCACCCCTAAAATGTGCACACGAGACACCTGTAAATGGAAATTTCTGCTTAATGCATTCATCACTACTTTTAAGTACTCACATCTTAGTGTAAAACATGCTTTATTAAAAAGGTCTAAAAGCACCGTGCTTACTGGAAGAAGCCACAATAAGTTTTCAATTTCACTTACTCCATTAAAACAAGTGACAGGAATAAATGCATTAAAGAAATGGGTGGGGGCGACAAGGGAATAAGAACATGATACACAGAGAATTTACTCACCCTTTGCTGGCAGATCCACTTTATTTCTATGTTAAACCCCACATCTTCTGGCAAAGACTCTAAAACCTAGAGTTTTGTTTGTTTTATTTTTGGTGAGATAATGGTAAAATAAGAGGGGGGAAAGGAAAACAGTATTAATACAAAAAGCAATCTGTAAGAACACATATCACTAGTAAGGGTAAAATGTTTTGTGCCGTCAGCATAAACCAGTATCTTTTCTCATACTCAAACTGACACCCCTGTGTCAGATTGAGAGTCAGATGGAATTAAACAGCAAAAGCAATAGTCTCGAGCAGTATCTGTGATAAGTGATCACTGCTACCACAAAGATGGACCCCTAACCTAAAATTCTTTTCACCATTACTATTGGATATTAAAAGTGAGCTGTAATAATTTAGGGGACCTCAAGGATTTAAGAAGACATTTGTCACATTTTCTGAATTTCATTCAAGTATGTCAATCTACTATATTGACATATGGTTGAAAACCCATAGTTCTGTTAGGTAGGACAGGTAGTAAACCAAGGCAGGGAGGAGGAGGGAGACATGTCTCACCCACTAACTCAGCAGTCTTGAGCCTGGTCCAACAATATTGCCAGGTGTTCTGAACATCACAAGCAACGCCATGCTAACACAGGACAAGGAGAGAGCCCTTGAAATTCTGTATGTATCTCCACTATGTGGGGAACAAGCCTTTGAAACTGTGTATTCATTCAAAGGCCTAGAAGGGGAAGTGGAGGGGGTCCACAGTGCCCAAAGAAGCAGCCCATAAAATAGCTTTAGTTAATTGCCTACGTGTGGTCACTGTTTTATGAGGGAGCCCCTAATGCTTACAGAAAGAGCCCATAAATAACTTTGGGAAGTGCCTCAACTTTAATTAACTGCCCCCTGTCATGTACCTGTTTTACAACAAGATGAACAAATACAGTCTGGAGCAAGATAAGAATTGGGGCTAGCAGACCCCCTCCCCCACCACATACCTTCTTTTGGGTAGTCACATGCCCCCTGTGAAAGCTGGCACCACTTTTACCCACCAATCAGTATGTGACTCCCACACCCCCATCCCACCAACTATGTAATAGGTCCTCAGAACAAAAGACCTGATGCTCTTGCCACCCTTGCCTTGCTTTGCCCTGAACCTACACCTTTCTCACCCCTACCTCGGCAAGGCCTTTTCTCTTCCACGAGAATGTATCCCTCATAAACTCTGCTTGCCCACTAATAGACTTGCTGGCCTATAATTCTTTATCACATCAGCAAGAAGAACCGAGTTTCTCCTGTAACAGTTCCTAGCTTGTTTTGAAAGTGATGATGCAAGCCCTGGCTGGCGTAGCTCAGTGGATTGAGCGTGGGCTGGGAACCAAAGTGTCCCAGGTTCGATTCCCAGCCAGGGTACATTCCTGGGTTGCAGGCCATAACCCCCAGCAACCGCACATTGATGTTTCTCTCTCTCTCTCCCTCCCTTCCCTCCCTAAAAATAAATAAATAAAATCTTAAAAAAAAAAAAAAAGAAAGTGATGATGCATAACAATATTATGCTGGTAACTCCCAGAAAAGATGTTGTCTCCAAATGAAAGATTATGCCAAGGCTCATAAATAAGGCTATGACTATATAAATGAACAAATAATACGGTGTCAACTTATTTAAACTAAGTTATCTAAACATTTTGCAATAAAACCCTTTTGGCAGGGTAACTAGGTAATCAAATAGAAAATATGAAACCTGACTGCTAACCTACAAAGAGCATAAGAGCAAATATGCATAAGCATGTTCAGGGCAAAATGAATTTCAAGCAGCTTGTTTTTAACTTCAATTTATTTCAGAAGTTTAGAAATCATTTAACATATATAGTATATATGATATCTGATTTAGGAACACCAAATAAACACACTAACAGAACAATGCAATAGTAAGAACATTCCGTGGGACTCTGGGGATCTGGGTCTGCACTAAAGAGCTGCATGGAAAGTACGGACCTAAAAGGGTTTGTGCTGTTTCGTGTGGGGCTTTTGTATCTTCTTTGATCTCTTTAACCATATTTATTTACCATACCTGTCACATTTTTACTGGGCTAACGCAAAATTAGAAAAATACAGACAATAGTATATATTAGCGCTGAGACTGCTAAACATCAAATTTGTAGAAAGATATCCCTTTACAGTGTGATTGTGTTTGGCCTTTTTTAGTTTTAAAGTTTCTCTGTGATTCAATTGCAGAGATGGCAAAGTGAGTGAATAAATGAGTATGAGTGTGTGTGTGTTTAACTTACGTGGTTAAAAAATGTCAAATCTTTCACAAACAATTTTTTTTAAAAAACTGTTTTCCCATTCTTTAAAATCACAGGTCTAGAAATCATAAAATTTATAAAAAAACAAGTAATTTTAGAATTTTGGACTAGAAAAAAAAAGACTTTACTTAGCTGGCCTTCATAAACATCTGACAAATTATTCAAATCCCTTGTTAAATGCACTAGGACAAGGCCTATTTTATTTTTTTCATAGTTCTGTTTATTTCTTACAAAACAACTCATACTGCTGTTGTTCCTTACTCCTCTTACTTAACACTAACAGTCTATAGACTTTCCTTTAGCACGACTTTATGATAAACATGTAGTGTATTTTGCTGTGTATAATGAACACTTTTTTGCCCAAATTTTTGAGAGAAAATAAGGATGCACATTAAACATGGGTAGTGCTAATTCCGTATCTATGTAAATGTTTTTAATTCTTTTATTTATGCTAATGCATTACAAGTGTAACTCCTTTAAAATTCTTTTATAATACAAAAAATTATAAAATTCCTTTATAATATAAAACAAGTATCTAAATATAAAAAAATAAAAGACTGAATTAAAAAATTAAAGAAGCTTTTCCCCTAAAGGCATGGGCCAAAAACATGGGTGTGAATTATATAAGAAAGCACACGACACACAGCAAACTACAGTATTTACTTTCATTAATTTTTATTTTTGAACTTTATTTTTATTGTTGACACCAGACAATGTCCATATTACAAGGTCTCTTGTAACATCCTTTCTGTAGGGTAAATAATTGTGATAAACTGAATTGACCTATTTTTTGCCAAAGAAACCTACTATAGGTGACATCACCGAGAAAAGACTATGGAGAAGAGCAGAAGTGAGGAAATGAAGCCAGCACAATAAAAGCCGACCCAGCAGGGCTAAGGGGAGTGTCTGGTGTCCATGTAGGCTTGCCTGATGCTGTGAAATGGATTCCTGCATGAACTGTGTTTAGTTTTTAAATCTTCATGCTTGTTTCTGTTATACTTTTCAGAGTAAAGCCTTTAAGTTTGTGTCTAATTTTCAGTAACCAGGGTACTGTTTTCTTTGGAGAATCTCAATTCTCTCCAAAAGCTGGGGAATAGTTAAAAATACTGTAAAAACACATCCCTTACCATCAAATCTCCCTCTTACCCTTTATCCAGCCCATGCCCTCTTCTTCCTGCTTATAATACAGAAATTTAGGAATTTGCTATTCTTACCAAATTGACCAACTGAGGTGAGAATTTTTCATTTGAGCAGATAGGTTACTCTTTTTTTAAAAGGTAGCATAAGTACACCACATACGACTGTATCTTCTGTAAAAAGTTTAAGTGATGACAAGTTTATATTAATATTGCCTATGACACAACCTTTTTGGTGCTCATTTAAGAGACAAAATTAATTATTCAGACATAACAAAATTAATGAGATAGTCTTGCTTTAGTTTTCCTAAGGAACTTACCATCTTAAGAGAAGGAAATGGCTGATTTTCAGAAAAAGAATTTTCTTCTGCAACCACAGATTCTGAAATTTTAAATCATAAAAGCTCAGTAGATAAAATATTTTATTACTAAGATCTTTCCCTAAATTCTTAAGGCAAAAAAAGACATGCTAAAGTAATTATGAAATCCTTTCATATATAGGTTTAAAGGCTTTTATATTTATTTATTATTTGTAACCATTAAACCCCCAATTTTTGACATAAGCATCTGTTTTGAAGACTAGTTTGCAACATTTAATAGAAATACCATAGTTTGTAGACTAGTGATTCTTTTCTTATAAAAATTGTAATATTACTTTTTAAAAAGTAGTCATAAGCAGTGATTCATTATTTCTCATTGTAATTAAAAACTATGTTATCTTGCTAAGACTATCTGAAATATCAAAATCAGCTCAAAAGTTAGAAATTAAGGGGATCTATAGCTATTAATGTGATTTGGTTAGCATTACATTTAATCCCAAACAGATTCCATCTTGAGACATACAAGATGTGTTCCCAAAAGAGAAAAAAAGTAATACCAAGCTTTTCTTTTCTTTAAAAAAAAAAAAAAAGAAAAAAGCCCACATAATACAAATTAGAAGAAAATCATGTAAAATTTTCCAGCTGAGTAAGTTAAAGGTCAAATTCATTCTACTATGGACAGTTTCTGAAATATCTATAAGCCTGTAAGTCATATTTGTGCTCTGGGGATATAATCTTTGGAGTCTTTAAACCCTTTCCAGTTTTTTTCATAAAGTCATCCTAAGCATTCTGCTATCAAAAGACAGGACATATACAAAAATAAAGGGTTAAAAAAAGGATACACTAAGCCTCAAATGAAGGGCATAGGCTATTAAGTTCCATGGAAGTAGAAAGTAAAGTAGAATTACAAAGGGTTTTGTAAGAAGGACAAGCTTTGAGGAACCTGAGGGATTGAGTAGTTAAGTAAACTGCCCCAGGTCACAACTGGTAAATATTGGATAAAGCTGGATTCAAACTCTGGGCTCTGGAGCCAGATTCTATGCTTGATATATTTTCTGCTTTATAATGTGAAGAGTGTTGGAAAGACTGAAGGGTTCAAAATTATACAAAGCTAAGAAAATTCATAAAAGTAAAAAATCATGGTTACTATTTATGATATATATGCATTTAAAGATTAATATATGAAAAGCTTTCATGTTTATAAAATTACATTTGGATAGCCCAGTATTATATTCATTAAAATGACCAAGAGTGTTAACATGGATAAGGAAACACCATATGTATGCTAACTATGAAATGAAAACAGTGTTTCCACATATGTACCTACCTTTTCGATCTTTAGATTTTAGTGCAGTCACATGAGCAAGCTAAAAACAAAACACACAAAAAAGGCAGTCATTAGAAAAGTGTTTGTTTACAAAGACATGTAATTTATGAAGAACTGTAACATGAAGAGCTAGCAAATTAGAGAAAACTATCAAATGTAGAATAAGTTTAATAAAAATAAGCATTAATCACTGAATATATTTTATATGTTTATACATACATATAAGATCACAGTCAAATACCCAAGTAAGGAAGAATAGAAAAATTCGTAAGTTAGGAAACTGTTTATACTCAATTGACCATTCATTTAGGTATCTAATGAGAACAGAAAGAGGGACTGTATAAAATTTTGTGTTATAACAAAATATACAGAGACCTTAGATAGTAACATAAGTATGAAACCAACAGCAGCACAAAAGGCCAATTGTAAAATAGTGAGTTATATAAAAAATGGCTAAAGCAGTTCGGAGGCAACCTAAGATTATGGATGAGAAGGACTAGCCCCTATGGCCTCCAAGGACGTGTAGCCTAGCCCTTTCAGGAATGCAAAATCGAATGAGGTCCATGAAAACAGAGAAGAGAGAGGGATTAACACAAACCCCTTCTTCCTAACAGGATAGAAAACCAAAGCATACGCTCTCTGCATGTTGAATATATCACCTCCATGGGCAAAGAGAGTATTACCATATACAGACAGGTACAAATAGTCTTAAAATTAAAAGATAATTTATATTTTACATTATTATTACTACCTTTAACAACTGGAGTTGGTCAAATGTTAACTCCTTTACTGGGATTTCAAATAATTCCACTGGATCAGCATCAAATTTCTGAATAAAAAATAAAGAGAAAAGTGGGCCCCAAATTATTAACAAGTTTACCCTACACAGGCCTAATATCTTAGTTTACTGACTGATGAGAATGGTTTGTGACTACAGTGAGCCCATATAGTGGAGCCCTTCTTAACACCAACTCCTCAGCTCTTAATTCTAGCTTTTGTTTTTAAGGTAAGTGGTAGTGCCTGGAAGAAAAAAAAGAGTTGGGAGCAAGCTATGGCATTGAAGACAAACTGAAAACAAAGCAAGAGTACAGTGATTTCCTCTATTTTCTGTCATCCTGTGTGTATTTCATCTGCCATATACCATGCCACATGACTAGGAAATCAGCAGGCAACTACTACATAACTAATTTCTGATCAATTTAAGTTTGTAACCTTCTAAACTTAAGTTTGGTTAAAAACAGCCATAAAAATCAATTATTACTAAAAATGCCTATTTAGCTATAAGCAGTAATACTTAACAGGTATTCTATCATAAACATTTTCCCCATGAGCAAATCTGTCTTATTAGACTTTAATACAATATCAAATGTCACACTGTTTAGGCACCTCTATCTTAGTAAGATCAGTTGATGTTCCACCAATAATCATCAATCCAACAAATACAGGGGTGGGCAAAAGTAGGTTTACAGTGGTAATACAAATAAACAATACAAGAATAAACTGTTTTGCATACTCACAACTGAAAACTTATTTTGCACACTCCTGTATACTAAAATCCATTACTTTTTTTTTTTTTTTACAAAAAATCCTCACTCCAAAGATGTTTTTATTGATTTGAGAGAAAGAATGGGGGATGGGGAGAGAGAGAAAGAGAAGGAAACATTGGTTGGCTGTCTCCTGTATGCACCCGAGCAGGGGATTGAACCTGCAACCTGAGTTAAGTGCCCTGATCAGAAACCAAACCTAGCCCTGGCTGGTGTAGCTCAGTGGATTGAGTGTGGCCTGAGAAGCAAGGGGTAGCTGGTTTGATTTCCAGGGTTTCGGGCCAGGTCCCCAGTAGGGGAAGTGCAAGAGGCAATCACACATTGATATTTTTCTCTTTCTCCCTCCCTCCCCCTCTAAAAATAAATAAATAAAATCTTAAAAAGAAAAAAAGAAATCAAACCTACAACCTTTTGGTGTACAGGACAATGCTCCTCCAATAGGGCCACCTAGCCAGGGCTAAAAATCTATTACCTTTATACTCATTTATGTATGTATAATATGGACATAAAAGTTTTTCTGGGAGAATACATAAGAAACCATTAAGAGTAAAGGAGTGCAGCCAAAGAGAAAGGAAACTTTATATTTATTTCATAATCTTATGAACTATTAGTTTATTGGAAAATACCAGCTTAAAAATTAAAACAAAAAATATACACAATTCATTACTTTCATTCCCCAAATAATTCACCCAAATTCAACTTAAGAGCAAGACAAAGAACACATTTTTTAAAAAAAGGAAAAAAAGAGCAAGATAAAGTCTGGTGAAAAGGGAGTGTCAATAATACTCTTCAATTAACTCTAATAGCTTTTTAGAAATTAAAACTGAATTAATCAACCTCCATCTTGGTTAGTAAGATCCTTTCCACTCCCCTCCATCCTTCTCCTTTCACTTTGCACTAATGTTTCCCCACAGCAAAAACAACCTGCTCCATTTCCATTCACTTATTCTACTTCTGTCATCTAAAGGTGCATCTCCTACCCTCCCTCTCCTAATACCATTTCACAGAAACAGAAGAGTCCTTCTCTATACATCATAGTAACCCAAACCCATATGCCTGATAAGAATCCACTAGCAAGCAGAGCCAGATGCCTTGTCATCTACTAATAGAACATGCAGTGTCTGGTACCATGTTATACATGCAAGCAATCAAGTCTTAATTTAAATGAACTCCATGGAAAATAGTATCTAGTACCTCATAACACTGGTTAATTTGTGTACTAAGTGGAGGCACTATATAATTGTCACAATTATGTTTGTACAATTACAATTTTTTTAAATCCTCACCCAAAGACACTTTTTTTTTGCTTTTAGAGAGGGAGGAAGGGAGAGCTTAGAAACATCAATTCGAGAGAGAAGCACCAATTAGTTGCCTCCCATAAGCACCCAGACCAGGGATTCCACACACTCAAACTGGCGATCATATGCACCTGGAGAGGGGAACAAACCCGCAACCCAGGTATGTGCCTTGACCAGGAATCAAGCCCGCAACCTTCAGCTACAGAAAAACACTCCAACCAAGTGAGCTATACAAGCCAGGGCATGATAATTACAACTTTTAAGAAATTATACGCATTTTCAAATCTCCTCTGGACTTTCTCCTGTCATGCCCTCCTCTCCACTCTCACTGTCTCCACTCCAGTTCAGGCTTACCTTACCTTCGGTCTGCATTATAATTCCCTTGCTTCTACTCTCTGTCCTCTTAAATTCCCCTTATATCAGGTATCGAATTATTAACCTGCAAGTTTAATTCTGAACATGTCCTTTCTTGGCTCTAAAGTCTTTCATATCTCCCTAGCTCCTAAGTCTAAACCCCTTCACAGAGGCCCTCCACTACCTGGCTCCAAAGCACTTTTCTAATAATTTTTCACTGTGGCTCTTCCCACTTTAGCCAATCATATTACCCTATTAATTTAAGGAAAAGCTGGAAGCAGAAATAGAAGGCAGCCTAGAAAACAAACACTCTGCTAGCTTCCTCTCCTGCCTCAATATAGAGACAGCTGCACACTGTAAAGAAACCACCTAGAACACAGGTGGCGAACACAAGGACCGTGGGCCACATCTGGCCCTCCACCTTGTTTTATCCAGCTTCGCACCTTGTTTCTACCTGGTGGAAGTACTGAGCTCCTTGCCCCTAGTTAAGGAGTAGTTACATTTACATAGTCCTAAAATTACATTCAGCCCTTTGAAGGCAGCCATGAGACTGATGCAGTCCCCAGTGAAAGGGAGTTTGACAACCCTGAGTAGGATATCCTTGTTAGGTCATATCAAAAAGCCAATTCAGCACTACAGAGACCCTCCTACTCTAGGACATTAATCTTCCTGTCTCAATGTTGTAGGAGCTTGAGAGAAACAAGGACTGACAGTTACTCACCAAGAAAACAAATTGGTCAGCTTTATTTAATAACCATCTATATATCTACTTTAAATGAAAGAATTTCAACATACCTTTTTCATAGTCAAACAACAGGTGAGGTCATGATATACCACAGGCACAAAATCTTTTGAAAGGTGTACATCAAATTCTACAAAGGCTGCACCCTGACAGAAATAAAGACAAGTATTTGAAAACTGTCATCTGGCTCACAATACATTTAAAACTATAAGGACGTAAGAAATTTATTGTTCACTATAAAATCACAGACCTGTATACAAAAACATAAAACGTCTTCATGATTCAATGCTACACTTCAAGCTTTATCCTAAAAAGTAATTTCTTCTCTTAAAACCATTTTAAGTATTTTCCTTTTTGCAAGAGCAGAGCAATTTTTTCCTGGCAAAAAACGGCACTGATCACTTGCACATGCCCTGGGGCCCCCTTTGCAGGACGGGACAGCCTTCACAGGCGTGTCACCTTTGCCATTGCTCTTAGCAGAAATGGAGCTGAGCAGGCACCTGGGGCACAGGGCTGCCTCACACACTGCCACCCCTGCACATCTTAGCTGGACAGCGCGTCTTAAAGAAGAGGCAGGAAAAAGAACAGGATGTGGTCTCTTAGCTATGCTCCTTGATCCATTTGAGAACACCACAGCCTTTTGTAGCAAAACCTCTGTAACCAGATTAAAGAAGAAACTACAACTACTGTTGAAAAGACAGAGAAAGCAGAAATGGGCAACAAAAATGATGCGCATGGCAAATTTCCTAATAGAAGCCTAAACAGAAGGAAGGAGGGCAAAAATTAGAGTTAAGGATATATTTTTTAAGTCAGAATCATCTGATATATGAATTAATCCAAATAAAGGCTGAGAATATAACCTGACATACAAATCTGTGTTCACTGCAAGAAAGCCAGCTGGGGTCTAAAGAAACAAGGTCTGAGTTTTCTGTGATGTTTCATGGCCCAGAGAAGTACTGAGTAACAGTGGGTGGATACATTTCCAAACCATGCCCAGCTAATGAGTAAACATGGATAACAGACTAAAAATGCAGAAGCCAAGTTCTCTGATTTCCTTCTAAAGCAGGAAATAAGCTTAGCTCTTTCTATTATATAAACAAGACGATAACACAAACCATTTGTACCGAAAAAGACAAACTGTACCACCTCCAAATAGTTGTAATGATTAAACATATTAAATTATAGCTTTCCAGTTTAAATGTTTAATTTGACATAATCATCATCCTTTATGAAAATAATTTTAGTAAGAGAGAAAATTTGATCCCAAAATTCATGTGTGAGTTTAGGAAATAAGGCAATAACGGACAAAAGCCTCTTCAAAGATATGTTTTTAACATTAAAACAAACCAATCATTAATAATATAAGATATTCTAAAATGTGATCCACATGAGTTACAAAGGAATTTATTAGAATACAAAATAAAAAGGCTATTGAAAACCTCTCTGAAAAGCAGAGACTCTGCAAGTTCTTTAACAGGGATCTTCATGTGTTTACAGCTCATAAAACAACACTTAGATTAGCTAGCTGCAATGAATTAAACTGGTTCCAAATAATAAATCAAGGCCTACACATATTTAATATCATCCTTTCAACAAAAGTAAAAACTATCCATTATTAATATTTATATACATTAAAATAGGTAATTACGGTAAAATGTATCATTATTTTACGTATCACTAAGAGGGAAAAAGTACCACTGCCAGTCAGACCATGATAAAAAGCTAAGAAAGCTGTAAAACCCATCCCAATTTTAGAGATGTTAAAATATGAAAAAAGGCCCTGGCTGGTGTGGCTCAGTGGATTGAGTGGCAGGCAGCCTGTGAACCAGGTGGTCACTGGTTTGATTTTCTGTTAGAGCGTGTACCTGGGTTGTGGACTGAATCCCCAGTTTGGGGGAGGGGGGGCATGGGGGCAGCCTAATGTTTCTCTCCCTCCCTTCTCCTCTCTAAAAATAAATAAAATGTAAAAAAAAAAAAAGAGAGAAAAAAGTGTGTCTTAGAATAGATGTTTGCTCATTTATAAGTGATAAAGTTAAACATCTGATGATTCAAGTTTACTATTAAACTATTTTTAAAAAGGCAAAGTTCAGAAAGGCATGTAGAGGACACTGTGGTAAAAGTAGAAATAAAAGAATGAAACGTTCCTTCACTTTCCCCCTAGTTTAACTCTGGAACATGAGACTTTTTAACCAGGTACAGAGAGGAATGGGAAGTGCGAAGGGAATCTCAGGCTCTTAATTTAAAAAGTCAAGTTGCAGTTGCTGAAAAAAACTAAAATCTAAAAAAGACTCTAACCCTTTAGAACTGGATGAAAGGAGTTAAAAATGTAACATTAGCATTATTCCCAAAGTGAGTATCTGAATGAGCACATTATTTGGCTGATGAAAACCAGTGTTTAATGGGGAACATTTTTCTTGCCCAACCACTCAAAATTTATTTCAAAAAAAAAATAAAAGGATGCTTCTAATTCCATTGTTTTTATCTCAACTGCACTATGAATCTAAATACAAATGTCTTGACACTTCAACTTCCCTTAGAAACATGTTCAGACAAAGCATAAATATTCATTCTCCTTTTTAACCTATTAATGCTGACTGGGGAAGACTCCCCAGACTGACCCATATATCTCTACTTTTCTACCTTTGGACCAACAGTCCAAAGTTACAAAAAGAGAGGTTCACTTACATGACTAGCAGCATTTCTTAAAGAAGCAATAGTATTTTCTTGAACTTTAGCAAGTCTGAAAGAGAAATGTATAGAAATGTAGTTATCATATACTATAAAGAAGATAAAGAAAACAAATGTAATAAAGAAGCCAGCTACATTTCCAACAATGGAAACAGCACTTACTCTCTATTTTGAGACTAATTTAGCCATTCCCAAAATAAGACTCACCATCACCTGGTTGGTGTGTGCATTTATTCCAAAATTTTAAGTATTTACAAGCTGAATGTAGACATATCCTATGCCAATACAACCACCCCAGGTGAGGTGACCAATAGAGAAAAAGAACGTCTGCAGTGGCAGGAAGTGGTAGAGATACTGAACTTGCTCCTGGTGATGACTCCTCAGATGATTTACTATTGGCAGACTGGAGGAATGGGAAAAGGCTGACACTCTAATAGGGTGGAAGTATGGAAACTATACTGAGAACAGGTGAGGAAACTGAGACCCAGAAAGGGCAACATGCTAAAAGTCAGGACCACAATGCAGGCACATTTATGTCATCAGGCTGACTCGTTGGGCAGTAAGCTTGTCCTGGCTTTCTAGTTTGTATTTTTAAAAAAGACATATTTCATGAAGTACAGTTGGCATACATTAGATTAGTTTCAGGTATACAACATGGTGTTCAACATGTACATACCTTGTGATATGATCACCACAATTAGTCTAGTAACCATCTGTCAAAGTTATTACAATACTATTGACTATATTCTCTGTGCTGTAAACTACATCCCCATGGCTTATTTATTTTACAGCTGGAAGTTTGTACCTCTTATTCCCCTTCATCTTTTTCACCCATTCCTCCACTCTCCTTTTCTCTGGGGCCTGACTTTCTAATTTTAATGTCTCTCGTATCAATTTAGTAGAATATTAAAAACACTAACAAAATCTTAGAGAGTCAGTTTCTAATTAATTTGAATTGGGAAACCCAGTCACCAAATTAAATTTAAGTTGCAGGGTAATAATAAAAGAATCATTTGATCTTTTGTCAGTCAAACCAATTTAACATTATCAAGTTTGAGCTACCAAATGCTAACACTGCTCAAACATTCAACCTACTGAGCAGTTGTTGTAGAATTCCCTGCACCTCGATGTCCAACATCCAGTGGTGTTCTTGGCTTCCAGTACTTGGAAAATGAAGATTTCATGTCACAACTGTATCCTGGTAATGGCTTAATAATTATATAGTCAACTTTGGTAGGGAAAAAAAGGGGGGACACACAAAAATAAAGACAATTAAAAAGGCCACGATGAGCTCAATTACATTTAAATAAATACCACCCAAACTAGCTTTATCAATCTCTATCAAATAGGAAAAAAATCAAGTCAAAACTGATTCAAAGCTTAGAAAATCCAACAGGTATATCCTTGTTGATATAGTTAATATTCTAAAACAAATCAGTAATTTGATCTTTAAAATTCTCAAAAGCTCAATTTGAATCTAATAAAAATTTTAACTCTGCTTATTTGTAAAGGACCACCCTGCTTCTCCAGGCTTACCTCTCACTCTACCTATTGTTTTTCTGGAATTTCTGCTCATGATAGGGAGAGTAAGGATCCCAGCACTCTTCCCACTCTCAGCAATGGTGGATGATAAGAGGCAGGCTGTACCCACATGTCCAGGAAGCGCATCACCCTGAACTACATGTTCACTGAGATCTTCCTAAAAAAATGAGGTTTAGAATAATCCAAATTCTTATACTTCAATATTTTCCATTTAAAGATCAAAACACTCTACAGAGGAAGATCAGTAAGAAATACAATCAAATTTATACCCACATGATTTAGAGAGCATTTTTTGGTAATAAATAATACTTTTTTGTACATATTAAGACTTAAGACTTTATGTGTTACTTCATTAACCATAACTCTGCTGACTTGTACTTCTGATCCTCTAATATGTATCAGGTGAATTTAAAGTCCTGACTGAAAGTTACTAGATACTGTACACTCAAAGATTAAGATACACTTGTAGTGAGCTTTTTAATGTATATTACATTCTCTAAAAATGCATCCACACAGATGATATAGGGGGGATGGAAGCTCTCCAGGAAATCAAATACTTTGTCAAAAATGGTATTTTATCAGCCTAGTTTATAAATAAAATAGTATTTCCAAAACTGCTAACCAAATGAAAGGGAAGTTAGCTGTTCAAGAGATTATTAAAAGGTAGGTCCCTTAAAGAACAAGGAAACATTACAACCAAAACTTTCTATTTTTATAATAAAACTCCACAGCTTACCTTATTACTTAGGTAAGATCTAATTATAGTTTTCTTGAAGTGTTTTTGGTTTTTTGAAACTAAACAACTTTGAATTTCATCTAATGCAAGGTAGCTAAAAAGCCACCCACAAAGGCTATGCCTAGCCCTGGATGGTGTGGCTCAGTAGATTGAGTGCCACCCTACAAACCGAAGGGTCATTCCCAGTTGGGGCACATGCCTGGGTTGTGGGCCAGGTCCCCAGTTGGGGCTTTAGGGACATATGTGAGAGACAACCAATTGATATATCTCTCACACACTCATGTTGCTCTCCCTCTTGTTCTCCCTCCCCTCCCCTCTGTCTAAAAGTAAATAAATAAAATCTTTTAAAAAAGGGGGGGCCATGCCTAAAGGAATGATCAAATTAAACTATTTGAAGATTATCATTTTAGTTATGTGCAACAAATGTTACCTAGTGGGTTTAAAACCATTCTGAATTCTGTCATTTTCAAGAAAACTGTGGATAGCTGCTACTGCTAGCCAGGTATATTACCTACCTTCAAAGATTTAAACTTTAATCTCATGGAAATGGGAATGGAAGTGGCAAAACACAAGTCTAAGGAAGCGGTACACATAACTACAGAGCACAACAGAGCAAGGACCTCAAGGGAGGGCCAAGGATTATCTGCGGGGAGCATCTGAGCAGCCAATAAGCTAGAGAGCTTTAGTGTAAGTGTCACAAGTAGCTCTGTAAAGTTGGCAGTAGAGATTCTGAACAACCTGGCACAATTTTTAGAGCACCTCTCTCTAATTACATATTTACAATCTCAAGTAAAGTTGCAAAAATGAGCCCACTGTTACAATGAATTCTTATAATAAAATGCCTCAATAAACCAGACTTCAGTCATGAAAGCGACTCACTCATGCTAGTTACACCACGTTGCCTACCAAGAGTCACACAGCCTGCCCATCCCTCTATTTATCCTTGGGGGTAAATTCAGACATAATTCATCTATATTTAGAACAGACACAGATATCAAGATATCTAGTCTTGATCTGAAACTAATTCTGCTGAAGTTCTCTTAATTATATTCTTAACAGTACTTGAGTATGTCAACTCTAAGTTTTTTAAGCCTGCTAAAATGTATAGAGGATTAAACATCTAAAGCATACAAGTCATGGGTTTACACAAATTAGACTACAATAAAAATCAAAACATATGTAAAAATAATCTTATGCCTGCATTCTTTCTCAACCCCCTCAAGTCAAAGAACTACTCACCTCAAAAAAATCAAATATTAATTCCAGGTTATCTGGTTCCATTGTCTGTATGCTATATTCAGTCCAACGATCAGGCTGTAAGCCATATCCACACTCTGGCTGTGAATGTCTGCACTTGAACTCATTGTCACTTATTAAGGATATCTCCAGGCTATTGGACATTTTATGAAGGACAGTGGGAGACACCCTATCATCATCATCTTCCTCCAGACCTTCTATTGTCAGCTTTACCCTAAATGAGAGGAAAAAAATGAAATGCAAAAAAGTGGAACAGAAGGGAAACTCACACAAATGTTACCTAAATGCTAAAATTCAGCAGTTTTCCCTGAATATGCAAAATCTTCAAGAAATAAAAGTAATACAGGGTGAGACAAAAGTGGGTTTACCATTGTGAGTATGCAAAACAGTTTATTCTTGTATTATTAACAGTTACTGCATTATTGTCCATAAAAATAACTGTAAGCCTACTTTTGGCCACCCCCCTCCCCTCCCCCTGTGTATTAAACACAGATTACACATGGTACAGGTTAAGGCATTAGGTATATTTTATAAAACACTGACATTTTAGTCTATATATATTTCTTTAAAGTATTAAAATGAGACAAATGCTCATTATGCCTAAGGTTGTTTTCATTAATTTTTTCTAATGAATGTAAAAGGTATTTATTGTCACCCAATTTGTAACTGGCTATCTCCATTTCTTTTGAGAAGTTTAACAAATGCACATACATAAAACGAATGCAAAATTGAACTAGATTCTGACAGTGTGCACTAAGACTATTAGACTCGGAGGCTGTAAACTAAAAATTTTCCCCTTACCACAGTGAATTGAGGTACTCTGTGAACAGTATATAAACATATTTTCATGCTTTTATTTTTAATCATTTTTATTAATATTCAAATACAGTCGTCTCCATTTTCCCACCACCATTCCTGCCCGCCCACCCTCAATCCTACCCCCCTTTGACTTTGTCCATGGGTCCTTTATACACATTCTTTGACAACCCTTTCCCTTCTTTCCCCCATTATTTCCCTCCCCTCTTGTTACTGTTTATTCTTTATTTCAATGTCTCTGGCTGTATTTTGCTTGCTTGTTTGTTTTGTTAATTAGGTTCTACTTATTGGTGAGATCATATGGTATTTGTCTTTCAAAAAGTATATTATTAAAGAAAAACACTGAATTAAGTATATTTGAATATATGCATTTTTATGTTTATATATATTTACACACATGTGCTTTTTAAAAATGAAACAAATGAGCCAAAATATAAACCAAGAGTCTAAAACTCTTATAGGCCTCAGAGCAATGAAAACAAAAGACCAATTACCCACGTCATAGGGCCACATAGGCTAGTCTATTCCTTATGAAAGGCAATTACTTGCACAGAGCATGTGTAATGCAAAAAAGTACTCAACTCTAGAATATTTCTTGCACCAACTGATATGTGCTTAAACACTTCTAATACTATTTATGTAGGAAGCAATGTTAGTGTATAGAGCAGCAATTTTTGATCTTTTTCATCTCATGGCATACACAAGCTAATTAATAAAATTCTGTGGCACACCAAAAAATGTATTTACTGCCAATCTGACCCCCAAAATAGATGTAATTTTGATTCCTTTCACACAGGATGGTTATTGTTGTGTTGGCTGCTGTCATTCTTTTGACAATTTAAGAGAAAAGAGGTCAGTGCCCCTAAATAGTCAGGTAATGTATGTTTTCAAAATTCTTGCAGCACACCAGATGAAAATCGCTGGTACTGAGTAACAGCTGAGCTACAAAACTTTTCATTTTAGATTTAAATAGAATCTGACTGATAATACAAATAATGGAATTGTATTAGTGGAGCCTGCTCTCTCTACATGGCCTCCTGCCTCCAACCACTGCTGAGACTTGTCTCTCAGCCACATAATTCTGAGGTCTCCCAGAGGGGACATCTATATAGATTATTCAATTAGTAATACTGTTTTGTAATCATACTATAAAATCAAAAGTAGCACTTCAATAATCCAAACAAAAATCATCATCTCTTCTCATCTAGACAACTGATTCTGTTGGTGAACCTGAAGGAAGAAACATTCTCTACCAGGATACATAAAGAGAACACAAATGGACAGTATTTAACAGGCAAGAAAGGCATAGAAGATAAAAAGGTTATCCTGCAAAAAACAATGTCCATCTATAAAAAAACATAAAAAAAATCACATTTAAAAGGATCTATGAAAGAATTTGTTAAAGGATTTATTCAAATAGCTACATAAATGTTATACTCTATCATTGTTTTCCACTTATTAGAGTCAAATGAAAGAGAAACTTGTGTTTAATTTGATGGCAGTAAGATCAAACAGCATGTCTAGTTTATTTAAAATGTGTAAGTTGCCCTGGCTGGGTGGCTCAGCTGGTTAGAGTGTCGTCCCAATACACCAAGGTTGCAGGTTTGATCCCTGGTCAGGGCACAAACAAGAAACAACCAATGAATGCATATATAAGTAGAATAACAAACTGATGTCTGTCTGTCTGTCTTTCCCCCTCTCTCTAAAATCTATAAATCAAAACAAAATAAAATAAAATGTGTAAGCTGTTGCTCAATTTTTAAAGTCCTTATATCCTTTTCAGGTATTAATATACCTATAAACTTATTTCCTGTTCATGAAAGTTTGGTCTATCACTAATGCAAATCTGGGGGTGGGGGAACATAGTCCGAACAAACATCAGTTTTTAGCCATGCATGATTATTTCAATAACAATCTGTTACTAATTTGTAGAGTCCAATAAAGTATGGTTATACAAAAATATTCCAACTTAAGCCTCAGCAACACTGTAATATTAGTAATATTATATAAACTAGCACTCAAAATAATTTCTATAGACAAGAACAGTACAGGACTCAGCATATATTTGCAAACCAATCAGAACCCCAACCATTAATATCTATTAATTTCTTAATTACAGTCAAGGAAAATAATCCTAATAAGCCCAATCAACCAAGGCTTTATCTTCTGCTAGTTTAGTTCAAGGTCTTATGCTAATGAGACAGTTTATAGCTGCCACACAATTTATTTGCTTCTTTTAACATGTAGACAGAATATTCAATTATATGACTAACTGGTTAGAGAATCTTTGCAGTCAAATGGATCCTGCAGATCAACCATTTGGTCCAACAGCCTCGGTTTTTCTGAAGCAAAGAAGAGGCCTAGAAATGCACAGAGACAAGGTACACCCAAAATCCTTTACTCACTCTCAGAGCAGCCAATGCAAATAACTATGAAGGGTTACATACACTTTCCCTTATGTATTTTATGATTGGGATAAGTATTATAATATTTAAGCAGTTATGGTAAAACATTTAAGGATTTTCAAACTATAGTATTGTTATGAATTATATCCAAATGACAGAGCTGCCTGGGTTACTGAGAAGCCAGTTCACTCAAAGGTATATATAATGACATTACAGTAAAATAAAGTTACTATTTATTTAGCTATTCACACAAAGCTTAACATCTGTTTCTTAAAATTAACATAGGATTAAAAAGAAACTAATATGGAACTGCTATGCTAGGGCTATCTTTCTTCATGGAAAGGTTTTCATTTTTTAGCTATAGGGAAGTTTAGGACACTGAAGGATATTTCCAACAATCATTTTTCTGTTTATGCCATTCTGCCCTCACTTAGCACAAAATCATTTCCTTATATCAATCTTAAACTAGCGATTGCTACATTAAGAAATTATATATGGCTCTGGCTGGCGTAGCTCAGTGGATTGAGTGCGGGCTGCGAACCACAGTGTAGCAGGTTCGATTCCCAGCCAGGGTACATGCTTGGGTTGCAGGCCATAACCCCCAGCAACCACACATTGATGTTTCTCTGTTTCTCTCCCTCTCTCCCTCTCTCTCAAGTGAATAAATAAAAAAAAATTTAATAAAAAAGAAATTATAAATGGAATAAGCTATACAGATGCATAAACTTGGGAACATTTACATAAAAAACAAATTATACTAGCTTCAAATTTAGAGATTAAGACTAGCATAAGTACATGTAACTGCAGCAACCTGAGGCAGGCAGCAGGTCACTGTCACCAGACCCTACAGTTATTAGAAAATGAGACATTATAACTCTGCTCTTTTCTCAGTTTATACACTTTAAGGCTAATGCCAGAAACCTATAGCATTAGTGAAAATAAATGGCCTAAGTAACAAACACACATGGTCCTACCTAAATCTAGATTTTTTAAATTTCTTCTTGGTTATTGAGACAGGAGGCTTTTCAGAATAATGCAAACGTAATCTTATTTCAGTCTGACATGTCAGCCATCCCGAATCCAAAGTCTCAACACCATCTGGTAAGTAACAGAAAGAACAGTAATTATTACACATATTTTTGGAATAATCCAGTCAATACAATACATGCTGACAATTCTAGTTCACATTCAGATTTTAATACACTAAAGTTATATGTCACTGGTATATATATGTAGTCTTAAATCTGTCATTGAAAAAGAACTTTTATATAAAAAGGAGGAGAAAAGTGAAATGAATGTTAACAGTAGCCATAGTTGAACAACTTAAATAAAAATATTCTTACAATCCATTCTAAATCCACTACCGAAGTAATAAAAATCTATTTCAGAAAGAATATATGCTCCAAGATGGCTTGTAACCTACAGTTGTTCCATTGGAGATTACAACTAAGCTTCGAAAGCTTCCCAGATCTGAGATATATATTCATATTTATTCAGCTGAAACTAGTTATACCAATAGTGCTAGGGACTGAGATATGAGTGAACAAGACTAAAACTGTGAGTCAATCCTGTACTCTCACACTTACATAATGTACCACAAATTGCACAACTATGATAGCACTGTATTAGCCCTGTTTAATCACAGTCTCCTAGTAAAATAGGTAACACATTTTTCATAATACTGAAGACTGGCAAATGAGTTGCTGTTTTGGACATAAGGTTTTCAAGAGGACTTAAAAAAACAAAACAAAAGTCAAGAAACATTTCTCCTTAAATATAACTTTAAAATGTTTAATAATAATTAGCAAATTTTAAAAATAAAGAGAAGCCACTATCATCTCTTAAACGGGTTTCAGAAATATAATGGAGAAATATGGTTATTTCTCTATATAGGTTTCAGAAATATAATATTCAGAAATGGAGATATGGCTTTCCTTTCTAAAAGCTAACGAAAGCTGAATTTAGAAGAACAACAAAATTTCCATGCATTTTAACAGAGGTAGCTAGATGGAGGTGGGCAAAGAGGGGGAAAATGAAGACAGAAAGAGACTTTGCTTGGTGCTACGGGTGAACTCTGCAGTGTGCAGATGATGTTTTATTCAGCTGTACACTTGAAACCTACATAGTTTTGTAAATCGATGTCATCCCAATAAATTCACTTAATTAAAAAAAATAATAGAGATATATAATGTCATGCATTACAGTTGAAGAAATAAGAAAACTATTCATCCATAAAGCTCTCCAAAACATGTAGTGCAAATATCATCTTTTGTAAATAAAAAGAACAAGACTATAATATACTAAACATTGAAGCTTTTTAAGTATTTGAGATTACCTTCTGATGTAATACAAATAATCCCAAATAAAATCCAAATTCCTATCCAAACACTGCCAAAACACGTACATTTCTAAAAATATGTGTGCCTAGTAAAACCATAAGCAAAACATTCAGATCTGTTTCTTCCTGTTCTTGACAGGAAAGCAAACTGGTTATCAGCGATCTATCTCTGGTTCAGTCAGCACAAGGAGACATTCTGCCAGTCCCTTTACACTATTTGACTGCTACAGTAAAGTATTTAAAATGAAAATGCAGTTTAGCATAATGTTGATAATGCTGATACATTGTGAGAATTCAAGTCACTGAAAACCTGAATTCTCAAGATAAAGTGTTTACTGAAGCAGAAGTATACAAATGAGTAACATTTTCAACATATTCAGAGGTAAAAGGATTTTCTAATATACTGTAAATTAAATGTTAAAGACTAAGTCAGAATTACTAGAAGATTTTGCTTAATCTGGGTTTTACTGTAAATGCACACAAACATACAAAACGCGTAAGTTTAGCGTAAGAGTAACGTTTCACACCTTAAATGTTTAGAACTGTTCATATCATTTTCAAACATAATAATGTTAAAAAGTGATGGTATTAACATTAACTCAAATACCTGAAATCACCAATCAAGTAAAAACCAAAATGATCAAAATTTTAAAGCATAAGAATTATACATACTGTAAAGTATTATTTAAGAGAATGTTATTTGTTTCTGAGATTTAGCCTCTATTTTCAATATCCAACCCTGTCATATTTCCCTATGCTATTTGTTTCTAATGAATGTTGCATAACATCTCAACCACATCAGTAAAAAATTTGAAAACTCAGTCTCACTTACTGTGGATTCCAAATTGTCCGTCATCAATAATAATTTCATTTTCTAGAATTGAAGGAAAATAGAAAAGCTAGTTAAAATTCATGATGTATATAGAATAAACAATTGAGAAATTACCTACCTTAAGCATTTTTAAAAATATAAACTCTAAAATTTAAAAGCAGCCCAAAGTGAATAAGCATATTTATTGTAGCCCTCAATATAGAATCCCCTTTGAAGAAGGCTATCAAACAGTAACAGTTCTTACATACTTGATGATTATTCACGATGTTACAAGGAAGAGAAAGAAAACTACTCAGACAGGTGCTCTAGAGGCACTGGAACAAACCTCCACACCCACCAATGTGTGAGACTGACAGATTACGGGACAACAATATCTCTCGATTCATTTTTTAAACCAAAGGTCTTGGCACAATTAAAATGCTTATTCTTATGTAATGCATATTCTGAACTTATCTAAAATGTAATTCTCCTCATCTCTCCTGTACAGCCAGCTAAAAGCTTTACAAACAGAGTAAACTTACCTGTATACCCAGAGCTGTGAGGAACTACCAAAACAGTAAGTTCTAGCACATATATGCCCTCCTAAACAGAAAGTTCAACTGAATGAAATAAGCCATCAAGCCCCACCCTCTGATTAACATACTAATTCCCTGCTCCTTCCTCTCCTGGTTTACTTTAAATATGCCTGAAATATTTGTCAAAATAAGTGTGACAGTTCCTAATGAAGATTCTCTGATAGATTTCACACAGCTCTTAAGTTTAGAAATTCTGTTTTACCAAAAGTATAAATATCTTTTTAAAACACCAGGAGGAAAATCATCCCACTTCTCATAATAATAAATATATTTAACTGCAAGATGCTTCAAAATGCATATTATTTTTAAATATTCAGTATCTAATAATTGTCAACTTCAGTATAGAACTGTAATAATTCTAAAGCACACTATCAGAAAAATTCTAAATACACTATAAAAAGGATTAAAACATAGAAAAAGAAAATCCAATAAAGAGGATGGAATGAGATATCTGTTTAAACAAGATGTTTCTACTCAGGGTAAAGCAGCATCTCCCACTGCTTTCTAAGCTGGTAACTAGAAAGCCATTTATAATCTTTACATTCTAATTTTCCCTAGAAACTGAAAGATACATTTCTCAGTATTGAGTCAATTTACAGATGAATTCCAAGTGAATAATTTAATAAATATGAAATAAACTTCAAATTTTAATCTTAGTATGAAAAAGGAATTTAAAAAATACTTGTATGAAGAGAAATGCCATTTTTAGGCATAAGAAAACTGAACAAGGTTAAAAAAAAAAAGAAAAAAAGAAAAAAAGAAAAAGAAACTGTCCTGGCTGGTGTGGCTCGGTAGACTGTGCACCAGTCAATGAACCAAAAGGCTGCCCATTCAATTTCCATCCAGGGCACATGCCTAGGTTGTGGGCCAGGTCCCCAGCTGGGGACATGTGAGACGCAACCAATCAATGTATCTCTCACACACTGATGTTTCTTTCCCTTTCATTCTCCCTCCCTTCCCCTCTCTCTGAAAGTAAATAAATAAAATCTATATAAAAAAAAAGGCTGCAGGAAATTCAGCCATTAAAAAATAACCTACCTGAATATGAATTTTAACACAGCCAGCAAGGTATTTAAGTTATGAGGAAAATATGTCTGCTACAACCAAGAAATTTGAATTTATTTATACATGTTTATTCAAGTATTTACTGGTTTAAAAAAACACACAGAAAGCGTAGAATAACTTGTTCTATTCTTACTATTTAAAGTTAAAAAATTTAAGAATCTTTGTTTTTGCCCTGGCTAGGTAGCTCAGTTGGTTAAAGCATCATCCTCACACACCAAGATCGCGTGTTCGATCCCTGGTCAGGGCACATACAAAAAATCAACCAATGAATGTATAAGTAAGTGGAACAACAAATCCATGTTTCTTTCTCTCTCCCCACTTCCCTTTCCCTCTAAAATCCATAAATAAAAAAATTTGTAAATATTTTTTTAAAAAGTGAATCTTTGTTTTGAATTAATTCTTTCCTCAAAAGTTCTCTAAGTTCTCTGAGCAAGTAATCAAATAAAGCCATGGATGCTCAGCAAAGATGGTTATTCATAAACTTTGTTAATTATCCAAATGAAAATAAATATTCTACAATAAATTAACCTAACCCAAGAAAATAAAAATAACTAGGCAAACATTCCTAATAAAGTTTATAAAAAAAGCAATTAAGAACTACTTAGTTTTGAAAGATTCATGATATGCTAAGTGAAATCTGTCCTTAAACTTTAGAATAAAAACTTATTAAATCCCACTAAGCCATTGTGCAGCATATTAGTAACTTTATGCATATGCCTCAAACAGATGCAGTTAATGCCCATACCTAAAGGGGTTATTGATCGTGGTTGTAGATGAGTCTCCCACTTGTGAACTATGACTTGACATGGACCACCGATAGTCTGCAATTTAAAAGTTAAATGTCTGCAATAATTTCTTATATCTTATTTTCTACCCATGACTCCATGAGATGTTTGTGGCCTAAGTTTATACTAAATATGAAACCAAGTGATTAATCTTGTTAATTATCAATATGCCCCCAATCAGGAAAGTACTAGGTCACAAAATTTGATGAGTGCTGGAAAAAAATGAGGATGAGATAGTAAACAAAGAAAAATGAGATGAACTGGCACATAAAACCATTTTAAACCCATTCTTAAATCTGCCTATGATACTCAATTTTTTTAATGCAATTTTAATCTTCAACTGATTATTCTGTCCTAAATTAAAGTTAACTAGAAATATACTTTATGTTTGGTAAGTCAGCAGTCAATGGGGTGTAACTGGATAAAGTATCTCAACTTAAGTAACTCTCAAAGTGTTTGGAAAAAGCCTAAACTCTATATCATAGGAATAGTAGGAACAAGTACTTCAGTTATAAGGTACTCAAGAAACTTGAGGCATAATAAAATCTGTTACTATACACATTTAAGAATAGTAAGTAGATAACAGGAAGAACATCAATTTCTCTTATCACAGTAACCAGTGTTTCTAAAGGGCACAGGAAACCCTAAAAAAAAAGACACATGCATGGGTAAATCTGAAGAACAAATCTGATAAAAGGGGGACTAACATCCAGTTTTACTCATTATGTCTTCGAGTTTATAAATTCATATACTGTGGTAACTCCTAATATTGTCCTGTTATCAAGTTCTCTTACTGAAAGAGAAAATAAAGCTTTATATGGTGTCAATAACATCTACACCAATTTAAAAACAAGAATAAACCTACCAACAGATTTCAGGTATATACCATACCTAATAGACTGTGTAATAAATGCTTCCTAATTTTCCTTTAATTATTTAAAAAAATGACTAAACTTATATGCCAAAACACTTCAATACATATTTTAAAAGCAAATTTTCAACTGTAATCTTTACAAGTTACTTTATTTTTTTGATCTTTACATGTCTTCTGAGTAATGTAGTAAAACACAGGGAAGCAAAAAGAAAAAACAAAGTCACCCATTATCACACCACTCAGGATTAATCACTATCAACATTTTCATATATAATCCTCAAGCCCTTTTCTAGGTGTATACTAAATGTACTCTTAAAAAGCCTGAAAAATATAAGCTTCTCTCTAAGAATATTGTACATCTTTAGATGACATTAAATATTCTCTTATAACATGTTGTAGGATTTCAATATTGATTATATTTAATAACTGTGTCAAATGATAATAAGTAAGTAGGTAACAAATTAGGCACATTATTAGGTTATTAAACATGAGATAATTCTACCACTTAAAATAACCAAAGGTTAAAATCTTTTTTAAAACTTGCAAAGTTTCAAAATTTGAAAACTAAAATAGCACTACATACTCATTCAAATCACTTATCCTGGGATAACACAGGAACTGCTCTTTTTCTCTAGACAAATACATCCTTGTTAAAAAGATTTACTTATGAATTGTTAGACTAGGTATACAGTTTTTAAAATGTAAATGTGAAACTGTTCATATTAAAATATGGTGAATTTAATTTTCATAACAACTAAAAGAAAGAGGTGCATATAATCCTACATTGCCTAGATGTTTTTTTACTACAACTTTTCCTGTCAGTTTTCTGAATTTGTTTTTTTAAACACCAAACTTTCCAATCCTCAAGAGATACAAATGTATACATTAAAAATAGAATGATGTTCCTTAACAATAATAAGCAGCCAGAAAAAACGAAACTACTCCTTTCCTCCCATGTTCCCCACATCCCCTACCAAAAAAATAAATAAAATCCTCTTCACTACAAAGATGGTATGAATTTATATTCTTATGGAAGTTACTAATCAAAGGTGATTTGAAAGGGTGCCATGAATATAATGTTAACTATCAGCAAGGATAAAAAGTAGATAGAGGAAAAAAGAGAATTTGCTTTGTTTTTGTTTTAGTTTAGATGTCAGGGGAACTTGACAATGTATTCACTATAGTATCTACAGTTAATCATGTTAAGAATAGCCCTGTGGATTAAATATTTGATAGGGAATATATTTTAGTAGTAATTTCAATGAACTCTACCCTCATACGTTTTAGTTGTGAAGCCACTAGTCACAGCATAAAACAATTTGGGCTTGGACAGAATGGCTATGTGAGGAGCAGTCCAAAGAGCTGACTGAACAGATGACTTAAAATTATGTCCACTAGCGTTCACACTACAAACCCATGTTGTTTGGTACACAAAGTGTTATAATACTGGGGGGGGGGGGGGGATGTACTAAGTTTTAAAATACAGTGAATTTCCTAAATTGTTATGACTACTTTATTAAACTTTAGAAGGTAATTTTAAATTTGAGCTTACTGAAGTTCTTTTAAAAAAAAATGTTAAGGCCTGAGCAGTAATATATTAAAAATCTCAGTAATGACTCCAAAACATGAAATCTTTTTTAAAGCTCTATCCCATGAAAAACAATCTTCAAGCTTAGAAAAAAAGAACAGTTTCATTCTGTAAAAGGCTGCCACAATTTTAAGCATTTTAGAGTCAGGTGGAAAGTGACCTTGGGCATGGGAGGCAGTGCGGCAAGACAGTATCAATCCAAGACAATATTCCATTTGCAGTACTAGTAGAATCATGGTATTTCACAAATTAGCATAGTTTAAATCAGAGGACTGCCGGAATGTTTTTCAAACACGCATGCTAACAAAAATGAAAACACATCTATGTTTCCACACGCAACAAGAAATCTTAATGGCTGCTTTCTTCAACAGTATGGACAATCACTCAGCTACATCAAACACTGAGAGAAATAAACAAGATTATTATCCAACATTTAAATTGGAGTTCGTTTAATTTTAACAAACTACCAAGCAAATACTCATGTACTATCACTGTTTTTAATATCATGAAAAACATAAATACGAATTTTTAGAATTTTAGTGTTTTTAACAATTTTGGAAAAAAAAAATGCATGGAAAAGGTTCTCTGAGGAAACTTTATGCTGTCAGAGGCCAGACCATAGTTATTTATAAAAACCATTATTTTTAATAAGACCATTAAGAAAAATGGTTGCTTAGGAATGAGCCAAGTAAAAGAAGCTAGGTGGACCAATATCTATGAGGTGGTTCAAACTGGAAGTTAACAGCTGAGGGTATTGAGCATTTAGATTTTTATTATATTAAGAAGCCATTCTGTAAAATAACACCCTAGGATATTCTAAAGATAAACCATCATCTATCTGTCTATCACAGATGACTGATTCTTTTGTTAAAAGATTTAAATAAAAATCAAGGGAGATTAAGAATAAAGTAAAAGAGTTTGTAATGAATCTAATTATGAGTAAATGTTAATACCTATAAAAATTAGAAACAGGTATGTTACTGAAAAATAAAGAGCTATTTATACTGAGATGAAGGAAATATTTCAAAGACAATATAATTAAAAATTGGCTGGTATTTCTGTAAAGACAACTACCCTAATGCTAGCCATAAGAGGGGTGGACATGGATTTTAAAAATGTTTAAACTGCGTGTTAAATCAAAAATTACTTTCGTGAAGATGTGAAATTAATGGACTATCTGTAGGGTCATGCAATGTTTTCATTCCAGGAATATCTACTACCTTTGTTTCCTATATTTATATAAGTTAATATTTTGATTTGTCACCTATAAAATTATCTTAAATTCAACAAATTAACACCTTATTCTAATTCTAAAAAGTGTAAGAGAACACGTAGCTATGAAAAACTAAGAGAAAAAGGACTGCAAGATTCAACTTCTAAAGTAAAAGGAATATGCCAGAAGGAGCAAAATATAAAAGAGCATATGAATAGTAAAATTTTACATTATTTCAATACAATACTAATAATGGAAGGGACCTAAGAAATTTATAGTTCAACCCTTCATTTTAAAGATGAGGAAGCTTAAATCTGAAGGTCAAGTGACAAGATCACAAGATTTTTAGCTTAGGTTCTACAACTGCTTGGGTAGACTACCTCCGAGACCTAAACCCAGTAAAATTAATTTTATTACCATTTCAGCTTTTCAATGCTTTCATAATTACTTTGCTTTCCTATTATTCTTTATATTCATACAATATATATTCTAATAATTTACAACAGTTCAAGATTTAAGATTCCTTGTACATTTGTTCTATTGTTTGACAATGCAAAATTGAGACAAAGTTTTGTAAGTATTTCTATTAAAAATTAAGTTTCATTTAAAAAGCGCCACCAACTTAAAAAAAAAAAGTGCCACTTTAAGCTGGCATGTGGGGGAAAAAGGCCTCTAGCCATATGCATGGGATTTTATGTAGCTATTTACTCTATTCCATGAAAAACATACTTACCATGGCAGCCCCTGCATCACACGGTACATGTGTACACGATACAGAGCACCTACTTAAAGAAACACACTCACCAACACATACTGTAAACTTTTGCAAGTATTACAAGGGGAAAAACTTGTTTCTTACTCTAAGTAAACTTGTTGCCAATTTTTTAAAAAAGGCATTTTAGACTGATTTGCTGCTTTTGGTTACATTTTCAATGAAGTAGGGACATACTGTAGGTTGGCTTAATTTAACCTGTGTTGACAATAGTCTTACTTTAAAAAAATATGCCCAAAGGACTCATTACGATTTTTCTTATCCAAATGCCCCTTTCAAGTAAAATTTAGTTGATTTCACATTACAAATTTCACATACCAGGACCCACAAATAAGCTTTCAATGTATCTATGCACAATTGTTCAATTTACACTGAAGAACAATGCCATGATGCATAACCCCTACACTAAATACATGATCTTTTCCTAAGCCATAAAGTGAGACTATTGTCAAGATAAGCCAACACAGTGATCAACCATAATGTAATTTAAGTTTAATTACTGAGTATTTACAATATATTCTTGGAATAAGAAACGTAATAGGTGCAAAAGACAGCTGAAGTGGGTTTGTCAGTTTTTTCTTTTTTATAATGGTGGCTAAAAGAATGAGCTAACAGTGGCTGCTTGCATTTTTCACATTTAACAAGTATTCAATGACCACAAAATGAAATAAAATCTTTTAAGAGTTCTAATCCATGTTCTGTTCCTAGACTACTGCCTAAATCCTTGTTCACATGCAGCCCAAGTGTGCTCAAAGGTAAAACTCTGAAGGAAAAGAATCCTTTCAGCAAGTATCTTCAAAATAAGAGGAAAAGAATCAACTTTTTTTTTCTAAATATGAAAACAATACCAAAATAATAAATCATTGTGAGCAAGCAGATTTAGATTTAATCGCTATTCCAAGGGCCTTCAGGAGAGATCCTGGTCTATCAACACCATTGTTGAAAAAAATCCAAGAGAAATGACGTCAGTTTTGATAGAAGTTACAATGCTGCCATTAAGAGACAGCTGCCGTGAAATAATTTTTAGAAGTAATTACTCACTTAAAATTGGCTATATATGCCTTTAAATGTATTTATACCAAACAAAGATTAAAAAAAAAACACAGAAAGAAAAACCCTTGCAACTGGTCACTAATTTGTTTACAAGAGTTAGAGAAAATGCATACCTACCCATCAAGAACATTTACTTATCATTAAAACCTATTTCATGATGACAATATTGCAACATACTTACTATGAATCTCTTAAAAATTCCATTACACACATCGTCTGCATCTGAAGTGGTTACTTCCTTGCTTTTTTGGTACTAAAATGTTATTAATCTAGAGTTCTCTTTTCCTTATTTAATCAAAACAAATTCATTTTACTTTTAATGTTTCAAAATATAAATCAGTTGCTTTTGAAAGAAGTCTGCTAAAGAAACTGGAAACTAGATGAAGAAAACATACCTTTGGTTCTAAAAAGCACCCTTTGAAGTAGCGATACTGAACCGATACTCCTCTACTGAGAACAATGGTTGCTTTCCATAACATGCTGTGTGGAAAAAAAAAAATTAAAGCAGCAGCATTAATATAAAAGTAAAATGCATAAAGACTATAATTCACGAAACCACTCAAGTAAAGATCTACGACCCATACCACTTATCTATTTCTACACAAATTTATTTTAGGCTTAATCTGTACCAGGCGCTGAGAACACTAAATGAGGCACAGAAAGCCCCTTCTTCATGGAGATTGCTTTCTTGTGTGGGTAGACAAACAAATAACCAAGCAGCATACATAACAAGGGCTATTTGACCTTTCTGATGTGACAGGAAATTTTGGAGGAGGCTTTTGAATAGGAGGCCTCAGTGAGGAAGAATTGTCTGAGCTGAGACCTAAATGATGGGGAAAAAACAAGACATACAGCAGCTGGAAGTATTCCAAACAGAAAAAGCAAGGAGAGCAGAAGTGGAAGCCAGAGTCAGACTTTCTCCTTAGCTAGAGATGTTACATGGCTGTTAAGAGGCTTTGGGACTAAAGCTGGCTAGTTATACCCATGTTTCCAGCAGTCCCTTGTTCTAACTATCCTCCCCCACTCCATGTCTACTCCCCTAGCTAAGCAATCAGTATCTGTATTTCTTTCCTGTTTCAATCCAATGTCTCCTTCTGAATTATGCTATTCCACGAGTTTAACTCAACAATGAAAAAATTCACAATTAGAACTGATTTTTAGCTTCAAGCACAGACCAGTAGTACCCAAAGCATGGTCCCAGGACCATCAGCCTAACCTGGGAGTCTGGTAGAAATGCAAATTCTCAGGCCACACCCAGGCCTATTTAATTAGAGTCTCAGGTGGGGCCCAACAACCTGTAATTTAGCAAGTGACTCCCATGACAAAAACTGAAGTTTGAGAATCTCTGTCATAGACCATTACTCAAATATTAATTCTACATGAACAGTTCAGTGAATACACAACAGCTCCAAATGTTCTTCCATGACACCAGATGGCTAGCACTGCTCCCCACCTGGATCTGCCAAGGCAGGCTTTAGGGACCAGCCACTCTGACTCAACTGTGGTTCCTAAGAAATATTCACAACCAGCTGTCATCCATGGTCCTACCTTTAGCAATCAGATTAATCTGGTGGTAACAAAATACATATACCCTGACTCTACCCCGAGAGACTCTTAATTTCACAGGTCTGGGGTAGAGCCTGGTCATATGGAGTTTGATAAAACTTCCTAAGCATTGGATGTATATGATTGGTTGTCAATCACTGCTATAACACAAGGATAGCAAGTGCTTGGCCTATGTGTCCCTACTACTTTTCCTTCAGAGGCTTCAGAATCATTTTCAACACAGGAGTCCAAGCAAGCTCTACCAAGTATAAGGTGAAATTTATTTCCTGTCTCTGCTACAGTACACTGAAATGCCAAAGAAACTCATTTCTAAAACACAAAGCTAGTGTCCAAAGGCAAACGATGCTTGCCTTTTGTATCATCTACTTCCTTTCTGCTTGTGCATTGTTTATCTGCCATATATTAATCCATTATATTTCAGTGTACATCAGCAATGTGAAAGTGGCTGGTCCCATTAAGTTAAGTAGTTAGGTGTTACCTTGTTCTGTCTACATCACTTTGACGAGGCTGGATGAAATGGACTTAAGACATGTGACAGGGCAGCTCAAAAGTTCAGAGCAGAAGGGTGTTTTAGGAACAAATTTAGAAAGATAAGAAATTTCACTTCACAGGAGTGGCTGATCCAAAAATCAAGAAAAAATAGCCACTTAAAAGGAATAAACATCTCATTCCTCTGTGATTCTAGTATCATTTATTAATAGAACACTTGTGGCTGAGAAAATGTGTCACATTAATAACAAACAGCAGAAAGGGTGTGTTCTACATATATTTTTGTTTTTTTTTCCTTAGCTTATTTCCTTGTTATTTTCCTTTGCTTTGCCATTAGTGCTTCTCAAACTATCTGCTGCAAAGGTCTATTTTTCTTTTTTTGTTTGTTTTACTCAACCAGTCCTGCAACCAATATGTCTGGTCTCCATACTCAGTTCAACGGGATGAGTCCACGGTGACACGCAAGGATGCTCTAGCATGTCAAACTGCTATAAACATTTCTAAATCCCTGCTCTCAATGTCTATGTTTCTCATATTATGTCCTAATTTAAAAAAAAAAAGTTTTGTTCAGCATGGTCCACAGTCCACATTTTTAGTAGCACTGTTCCATAGGAAAACAGAATTAGAGCTTTATAATCATGAAATTTAGTATTTCTCCCAAGGGGTATTGCATGCATCTGTCTGTATACTATTTAGGATCTCATCTCTCCTCACCCTGCCCCCATACCTAGATCCTGGCAACCCATAACACTCTCAAGTATCCCCAAGCGGAGAAGCACCCTCTTTGTTGACATTCATTCATTCTATCTTAACCTCATTACTATGTAGACCAGGTAGCCAAGGCCTAGAGATACTGGATCTGCCCAAGATCACAGGTAAATGCAGATCTGAAACCAGCACCCAGATCCACCTTCCCCCAGCCCAATGCACCAATACAGCCATGCTAAGTTTAATGGTGCATCTAATCTCCACAGTGAACTCATTTTATTACATTAGCTAAGATATCTAAATAAGTATGTGTTCTACTTTCAGCTTTTAGTTAATACTATACACATCTGAAAAAAAATTTTATAGGCTAAAGCAAAAATTAAATCTTTTATCAAGAATATGTATTGAGAAAAAGATACTGCCTTAAAAAGGTTTTTTAAAAAAGGAATAGCAATATAAGCTTATTATTCAGAAAAACCAACTAAGAGTTGAAAATAGTTGTCTGAGAGGTAGAAATTGAGGAACAGGCTAAATCTTTCCTCACCACAAACTTTGTACAAGTATCACTCTTCACAGACACATGTGATAACTTTGACAAAAATTAAAATTAAAAGAAAATATACCAAGCTATCTTAGAAGTCCCCAAGTTTATAATCTGAATGTCACAATTACTCTGTAACCTAACATCTCCATGCTTACCTTTCACCTGTCTCATTCTCTGGAGTAAGAGCCACAGCATTTTGAGGATTCCAGTTTCCCAAAACATCACAGTTTCCACAAATTGCAAAAACTTCTCCTAAAGGAACAGAACACCAGTTACAGTGGCATAAATAGAAGAATTTCAAGTTTGAGTTTCAGAGAGCAAGAAACGAGCAGTCAGTGCATTCGTTCTACTGGATACAGAGTCCCCTGCAGCAGAGATGGAGGACCCTCACTGGAAACATGGATTTGGACCCAGGTACCATACCAGCACCTGCCTTATTAACTTGACTCACCTCTATAGAATCAAAGACAGAGAGACAAAGAGGGATGTGGAAGGATGAACTTTTCTTCATTCGTTCAGCTACATATTGAACCAATAAACAAGCACCAAGAAGACAAAGTGATCAGACCACAGTCCCCCGCTTCAAGGCAGCTTCCAATTTAAAGAGGCAATCACTAAATGCATGTGAGTATTCTAAAGAAACAGTAATTGATAATTTCCAGGATAGGAGCAATGTAACAATAAAAACCCTCAAAAAATACATTGAAAAATCTAGTATACCTTATAAAAATAATGACTATTGTTTCATCAGAACACTTCTCATCTAAATGCAGACGACTGTAATTGAACAATAAAATAATTAAAAATAAATAAAAAATAGAACAATGCTGTAAGAGAAAAAAAGAATACTTCTCATCAACAAACTAACAGAGTTATCATCTAAATTTGCTGAACTTACATATATTTCGCAGAAGTCCACACCTTCATGGATATAAATATGCAGAACTCTTTAACTTCTAACACATATTGAATTAAAATAATTAAAATTCATAATGAGAAAGATAATGAACTGGGCCTGAATGATAAACCTTAAGACACATTCCTCCACTTTCTGAGACTAGCTTGGTTTCCAGCTTTAGGCACTAGTTTGGTAAGACCTGAATTACAGGTGGTTTAGCCACCTGCACAAGCATTTTGTAAACTTGGACTATAAAACTTAACTAAAAATTCTAGGCATGAGAGTGACTCAGGAGGTTTCAGAGTTCTAAATACATGTGCATAAAGCACAAGGTGATTGTCTATGAAGATTTTACATCAAAATATTTCAAATACATAAATCCTTTTAAGTAATCAGTTACAATTAGGTTATCATAACTTCTGTGTGTGTGTGTTTTTTAAGGGTAAACACTATTGCTAAATTCAAGGCACAAATATTCACTCTCAAGAATGTGTATGTTGCTATGCACATTATAGCATACATTGTGGCTCCTAGCTCAAAACACAGATTACCACAAAATCAATGATTCAGGCCCATTATTATACCTCCTTCGGAAAGGAGAGTCCATTCATACTTTTTCATGGAGCCAGTTATTCCTTAGCCCCGCACAAAACAGCAGCTACTCTTTGTGCTGGAAAGAACATATACCCCAAATAGAGAAGAAAAACCTAGGCAATCAGTTGGTGGTTCACTCTTTACTCCTATAAGTGCTCCTGCATTTGACCAGTCCTCCACACTGTTATTGTACTTTGTGTTTCTGCTGACTGCCTTTAATACAGCTTCTAGGAGGGAAAAGGGGGAAACTACTAGAACAGAGAGATCTCTTTGTTTGATTAGCTTTCATTTATAAAATATTATAAAGACTTTAAAGGAATTTGCAAACAGCACCCCCACATATTCTTTTTTACTTGTTCCCTCTAACCTCACCCCTCTCTGCATTCCCTAACTCGCTCGACATTCAGCAGAGAACACTTCCTCCTCCTTTGGAGAAGAAATCAAGGTGATGGGAGAGAACTGGGGATTGTGGGAGTCTTCCCAACATCCCTTCCCTGTCTTTCTATGTCCTCTCCTTCCCACCTACATATTCATCTGCATCTATATCCACCATTATCTCCCTCTAGTCCTTGAGAATGAGAGTTCCCTCTTGCCAAAATGATCCTTTTATGGCTAATTGTGTGGTCAGTCTATTTGCCTGACATAGCCAGCTCCTTCTAGCTAAACTGCCTTTGTACAACTCCCTAAATGGGAATGATACAGTTCTGTCGTCTTCTCCCACACAGAGGGCTGGAGGTGAGGACTCAACCCAAGGGAGCCAACCCATCAGCTAACTAGCAATCTTCAATCTTTAGAATCTTGCCCAGAGATGAGCTGTATCAGATCATCTTGGCTAAGAATTTACACTTAGACACGCAACTCTGTCAACTGCTGTGATAGCTCCTAAAACAAAGATGCTAAATATATAGAGTGAATCAATCATTCATTCATTCTTTGAACACATACTTACCCCTGCTGTGAGCCAGGCATTGTGAGAGGTGCAGGAATTCAGCATGAACAAGACAAAGTTACATTTTTACATAGAGTTTATAACCTATCCACCAAAAAAATTACTTAGATAATTCCATAAAATCTATAAAAGGTGCTCAAGTCCTGGAACCCTGATTTCACAGGGACCTTAGTTGAAAGTGGGAGATTGCAGGAAAGAGAATTAAGGAGGGCACATAGATCTGGGCAAAAGAAATAATTTGAGAAAGTCCCAATGATTCTACAGCAGGAATGCAACAACTTTAAGGACTGGGGAGCATACCCAGAGTATATTAAACAAGGAGGCATATAACACAGGTGCAATACTGTTTTGACATGTTATTTCACAGTAAAATAATTTCACACTAAAAACAAAAAAAGTTAAATTAAAATTATTTCACATTGCTTAAGTAGACGACAATAAATGCAATAAAGCTAAATATAAAAATATATAAGTAGGGGACAATGTTAGCCTAATATTTTACCAACTTCTTGCTCTTACAAAATTTCCCTTATTTTCATGCCACTTAAAAATCATAGATTAATTATCTTTGTCATGTGCAAAATTAAATAAAATCACAGCTTTCTTGGAAAATGGGGGTGGGGGTGTTTTGTTTTGTTTTGTTTTTCCTTGAGTTTACTATACTCCAAACACTTTTCTGGTATCAGGTAAGCCATAAAGATATTTTCACCAAAAAATCAGGCCCACTCTAATAACAACTCCATATTTAAGATAAGCCAGATAAGAAAAATGCTCATTTACAATACCTGGTAACAGAGTTCCTCTTATTTCAAAGGTAACCTGAGGTGTCATTCTGACAGATTTATTTTAGGACGTTGTGCTAGAAAGGAAAAGAAAAGATACCATTTATAATATATGAAAATATCAGTTCTAAATAGCTTCACAAAAACAAAAATGAATTTTTTTAAATTTTAGAGAGGACGGGGAAAGAAGAGAGAGAGAGAAACATCAAGTTGTTGTTCCACTTATTTATGCATTCATTGGTTGATGCTTGTATGAGTCCTGCCTGGGGACCAAACCGGCAACCTGGGCATATCAGGACAATGCTCTCTAACCAACTGAGCTGCCTGGACAGGACCCCAAAATGAATCTTAACTGTGAGCAAAAGATTTCTGATACCCTACAGAGACAGACTTCATTACTTAGGTAATACCTAGCAAGTTTTAGGGCCCATAATGCTACAAAACTGTTCCATAAGAGTGTATGGACCATAAAAACTGCAAAACAAGAGTGCCCGCCCAAATTTTTTTAAGGATGTAAGATTCTTTTGTCATAGACTTTCTCTTCTGAAAAGCAGCTGTTCTGAACTCAACCTATATTTCCTGACCAGGCTCATGGTATAGTGGAAGCAAAAAACAAACAAAAAAAAAAAACAAAAAAAACCAACAACCAAAAACCCATAGATAGAAAAGGCTTGGGTCAAGAGAGGATTTAGGTTTCAACTTCAATAAAAAAGAAAGAACCAAAGACAAAGTATCATCCACTGAAACAAACCAGTCATGGTGTACAGCAAGTTTAAGAATGTGCTTCTTAGTAACTAATGACAAACACACAAAAGCCTTCCCCTACCAATCATTCTTTTCATACTTTCTCTTTAGTATCCTTAAAACCATCAAGTCCAGTTCTGCAAACTTGAATTTGGAGTCTCAACTTTCCAACCTATTAGCAAACCCTATTGATTCTATTTGACCTCACATAGATGCTTGTCTTTCTAAAATCTGAACTTCATTCAAAACCCTAATTCTCCTCCCTGTATTTTGGCTTCTAAACCTCTTCCCAGTAATATATTTTATGTCATTTAGAATAGCCTTCCTCAGTATTTTTAAAATCACTTCAATTACTTACAGAAATCTAAATCCCTAAGCTTTTGATGTCTTTTATCATTTATCCACTTTTTTGTCTCCGAATTTTCACTTGTTTCCCCAAGCCAAACCAATCTGTTTACCATCCCCTAACTTAAGTACCTAAGGGAAGATAAGCCCCGGCTGGCGTAGCCCAGTGGATTGAGCGCGGGCTGCGAACCAAAGTGTCACAGGTTCAATTCCCAGTCAGGGTACATGCCTGGGTTGCAGGCCATGACCCCCAGCAACCGCACATTGATGTTTCTCTCTCTCTCCTTCCCTTCCCTCTCTAAAAATAAATAAGTAAAATATTTTTTGAAAAAGATTATCTTTTTAAAACATACAATGTCAATTCTCAAGAAGGTTATATAATTTAAATATAGAAAGAACATATGTATGCCACACAAGGGCACATCATAGCTACATAAGTTTTCAGTACTCCCCCAAAACTTCTGCACCCCAATCCACCAATGTGCCTTAAAAAAATTCCAATAATGTTGTTATTCTACATCATTTCTACTAACTTACTAAAGTGTTTATTTTATACATTATTTTATATTTAAAAGTCCTGAAGAAGCTTTCACGGTTCATTCTTCTATTTCCCCTTTGTTCTCCCTTGGCTCCCTGGGAACACATGTACTATTATGCAATGGTCACTGAATGGATACCTCAACCCTGAGTTAGCCACACTTTTAAGTCAAGGTAGACAGACCTATAGTAGTGGTTCCCAATAGAGGCACTTTTTAAAGAAGTCTTATGAAGTGAACATATAGTTTACTATTTTCTAAGTTTTAAAAAATGTTGTTAGCACTAACATTCAGTATTATAGTTACTTCAGGTATATAACCTTACTGACAGACATTTGTGTAACGTATGAATAAGTCTAGTACCTGACCGGTACCATACACAGTTATTACAGTATTATTGACTATATTCCCTATGCTGTGCTTTACATCCCTGTATTTTGTGACTATCAATTTGTACTTCTTAATCCCTTCACCTTTTTCACCCAACTCCCTAATCCCCTTCCCATCTGGCAACCACCAGTCTCTTTTCCCTGGAGGCAATTTTGCCCTCCAAGAGTATCCTGGCAGTATCAGGAGACATTTTTGGTCACCACAATCGGGGGTGATGCCCCTGCCATCTAGTGGGTAGAGGCCATGCTGCTCAACACCATAGAATGCAGAGAACAGTTATCCACACCTAACTGTCCTGCTCCAAATTTCAATAGGGCTGAGACTGAGAAACCTGATCTCTAATACCTATCCATATGGGGCTGCTATGGGGATCAAGAGTCCAGGCTCAGTGTTAGCTATAAATTATGTATCATCCCGCTTATATCAATTATAAATGTAAAGGTTGAATATACATAAACAAGACCATCAATCAGTGTGGTTTCTTGTCACTTGGATAAAGACTTCCCTATTTGGCAACTCTACCATTTCAGTTAGAAAATCCAAGATTCTGCATTGGAGAAAAATCTGTCCTTGATCAAAATCATTTCTAAGAAAATCTGTCCTTGATCAAAATCATTTCTAAGATACCGTAATCTGCTTTCTAAAAGTAAACATGACGTATTTAAAGCACATACATCCATTTCAAGCATTGCCAAAGAATGTCCTAAGTCTAGAAACTACCTAGATTGTTAACCTCCCCCCAAAATAACCTATTATTATTGAAATATCTTAATAGTTCTCTTTTAACATGACATCCGATATGAATCTGAGTATGTAACTCTGAATACAAGTATTTTCTTTTCAAATAAATAAATATGGCTCACTGAAGCAGCGCAATCTTCCATTTAAATTCATATAATACCAAGAAGAAACCTTACGGCTAGCAAAAAGCTCAATTTATGTCATTGAATTAATTTTGAGACACACCAAAAAGCCCCACCATCCAGGAAAATAGCTGAATAACCAACCTTACTCTCCACCTGCTTGTACTTTCACCCAGTGTTTACTACCACAGCTGTCAACTAAGGACAATCTTGTCTACATAATCCCACAGTACTCCACTCTTAGATGACTAATTTTAAATATTTCAACTAATTTTAGGGAAATCAGATGTAATTACTCTTATGCATTAAGTTCAACAAATGATACAAAATTTTCTCTAAATTTCTACTGCATTAAATGAGAAAACTCTAAATTCAATTTAATAAAAGGGATATCAATTGCTTATTAAAACTGATGGAGCCTTTTATTCTTAAATGGCTTGTAAGAGTGGCTACAGTAACTCGGTTGGACACAGCTGTAGTAAATGTACTATACAAAACTATAAAAGGACAAGGTTATCCCCATAAAAACTCCCCAAATGTCAACAAAGCATCATCTTCCACTTGAATTGCCAAAAGTCATATAATTTTGATTAATTTCCACCCTACTCCCTTAATTTAATGCCATACCAAATAAAAGCCGGGAGGAGCTGCTGCTTCAGCGGTTTCCTTATCATGGATAGAGGCCAAAATTCTGGTGCAGGACTGAAGCACCCAGCTATCACCAAAACAGTGGTGACTAAGTAAAATACTGCACTGTGGAGTAATGCAAAATTCACAGACCCAACAACACTCCCTCTTCATCCAAACAAGCAAAACAACAAAGCAAAAGACACTTGCTGGGGAGGTCTTCCAAATATACATAAAACAAGATGAAAAATTCTGCATACGTGAGCTGACTGTATGCGTAATTTAACCAACTCACCTATTACCTCATGTACGGACTATGCTTCCTAGGGCAGGTTTTTGGTTTGCTTTTGTTTTTAACCTCCACTTTGTGCTTTTTAAAGATAAATATTAAACAGCATTCCCATCTGAGATTTTGAGTAGCATTTAACACTACCTGAATGTTTTTTGAGTACTCAAGCAATTAGCAAAATAATGACATTATTTACATTTTTAAATATTTCTGATTTTACACTACCTGGCACAATAAATTTTACTCTCTTCTGTTTGTCAAAGAAACTATTCCAATACATGACCTTACTAGTTTACCAGCAGCTTAGGGGGCAAAAGGGAGTTTTAAGCCAAATATGGTACAGGGACATTTAGTTTAGAGCTAAATCTAAGTCAGATATTTTTAGCTAAAACGTGTTTCTCTGGCTAAAAAGAACATCTCTCACTGTTTCCCCTCATTTCTTTTTCAAAGAAAAAGCTGTTTCCAATCCTCCTTGCTCTTTCCTAGACTCTAATAGCTTTGAGTCTCATAACTGGCTGTAAGGAAGGAATATATGTGCATTTTCCTGAGTTAATTTCTGTTCATTCTGGTGGAAGATCATTACCACTTTACTACTCTGATTCCAGTGTACTTTGAGCCAATATTTTAATCAAATGTATGCAGACATGAATGGATTTTTATTAAGAAAGCATTTCTGGATTTCATTAAGCCAAGTTAATTCCTTAATCACCTTCCAAACACTGCAGTCAAGTTTTTCCAAATATTTTCCATTTTATACTATTGTGATATTATTTGCATATACATTTCATGTAATTTTCCTAGTAACTTATACACAAAGATTTGATTCACCGATCTATTTTTTGTACATGCAAATTTACTGCCACTGTAGGACTCCTTTTGTAGTCATTATTTCTCCGAGTCCAACTTCCCTAAGTCTTATTTTGTCTAGAATATTGGTTCTCCCTAGTTCTTAAACCAAGAACAGATAGTGCCATGTGCAGTTTTACTAAATGTTTATTTTGTGTTATTTGTAGCCAAAATATTAGGGGTTGGAAAATGTGCTGATAGCTTGTATCTACTTTTTAGCTAAATCACAACTGTCAGAAATGTAGCAAGATGGAGAATCACCAAGGGGAAGAGTAGTGGGTAGGAGCTGGGGAGACCTGTGGAAGGTGACAGGCGTAGAGATAACATCGGGTCCGAACATCCTGCTCGGTCCCATCAGTTCCCTTATGTCGGTACCACAGGAGACTAAACAGCTGCCTCAAGGTGAAAGAAAGAATTCTCTCCAGCTCAAGACGGAATACATGGCAGGCTTCCTTTATAACAGGGCAGTGGGGGGAAGAGGAGGGACTGATGAAGCACCTAACTGACTGAGGCTTTCTCCCAGAACTCATCAAGGCAATCAGGAGAGCTTCAGAAAAAGTGGAGCTCTGGAGAAAAGAGCGCTGCTGTTTTAAAACTGCACCGAGGGCACAGATGTCTATTCCTGGAACCTTTTCCTAGGAGGGTAAGGCACATTGGTTTCTTGGAATAACTGAATTATCCAAGCATGCCCCCGATTACGCGGTTAGGCAATTTCAGAAAATAAGCAGTTGTCAGAGCACTCCGATGTAGGGACGGACGGGGAGAGCAGTGGTGGGCAAGGGACAAGCTGTGGGTTAGGGTACACAACGACTTCGGCTTCATTTTTGTTTCTTCGTTCCTTAGCTTGGTCCTTCGTATACTCGCGGTGGTCCTACGCTCTTTGCATTACTTCGCAGAATTTTCAGAGAGGAACTAAGCAACAGACCAGCGGAAACGTGGCAGCAAACAATAAAAGTCGAATAAATAGATGCTGCCCACCCACTTACCCGACGGAACGTCCAGGCCGCTGATTCCCCGTCAGGCAGTGGCCGGCCTGGGTTGGGGGACACTGTCCACCCCTCGGCCCTGCCGCGTGTCCCGACGCCCCCCGCCCCGCCGCGTCCCTAGGCTCCGCCGCCCTGACAGCTCGGCTGACACGTGAGCGGCCACCCAGGTCCCTGCATCGAGCCCCCGCCCGATCGGCTGCCCATCTCACCTGCCGGGCCCGCGGGTCAGCGGATCCCCGCTGCGGACGCCGCTGCGCCCAAGAGTGAGAGCCTCCAGCCGAGCTGCCGCGTTCCGGCCGCCGCGCCTCGCCAGCGCTCCCCAAGGCGGCCCGCAGCAGCGCCCAGCAGCAGGAAGCGGCTGCGCTCAAACCGGTTTCAGCTGCTCCAGACCAAACCGCCAGGCCACCCCGCGGGGCGGAGCCTGAGGCACGGCGGGGCGGGGCTTGACGTCAAGCCCCGCGCCCACCCTGCCAATCCGCGGCCGGCGGCGGGGGGCGGGCCCTGCGTTCCTGGAAAGGGGCCGAGTCAGCGGCCGAAGGTTGTGGGGCATCCCTGGGGCTCCTGGGATCCGCTTTTTCCGCTCACCCGGAGACGCAGTGGACTGTGACACAGAGGAGCCGCGGCGACCCGGAGGAGACCCGGCTCATAATCATAGACGCGTACCTTGTTTTTGAAAGGCTATTTAGAACAACCAAGTATCTGGAGGCTGGAGCTGCAATTCTGAATTGCATTTTTTCCTGTTCGAAAGTGAGGAAAATTAGCAGACCAGATGTTTTCTGGAAACTTTTATTGCTAAACAACTAGCACACTTGGATCACATCTTTAAAGTTGAAAGCGAGAATTAATGACTTCAGATGGTTAAGTGTTTGTAACTGTGGCCACGCAAAATACGGTGTACGAGCCAGCTGCACCACTTGGGAGTTGTCTGAATTGCAGTCTCAGGACTCACAGACCTGCCAAATCAAATCCATGTAACAAGAGCCCCAGGTTATTTGTATGTAAATTAAAGTTGGAAGGAACTTTTCGAAAAGCTAAAAAAGATCCTCTGTCAAAGTCTTTGTCATTTATTTTCTGGAAAATACATCGGCCCCACAAAAAAAAAAGTTTGTTTTTCTCTTTTGGTGGTCCCAGAAAAATTGATCAGCGTTTGCTAGTTACCAACTTAAACAAACTGTTGTCTTTCCAGCATCAAGATTAGCCCCAGCTAACCACTAACAAAAACTATGTTACCAGATTCGTTAAAATCAGTGAGATACTGAAAATTAAAAAGAGCCTGTCAGGAACATCTGTTCCTGATACAGTCTTTCCTATAAGTCAGCCAGGCAATTGTTCAGCTAGCTGCCTGCTGAGCAGCTAGGCACCAAGGAATAGATAAGAGTCACACACAGTAACTATGCTATTCACTCAGCTTTTATTGAATGCAGGTTCATTCAGAATGGAACATCAACACACATTAATGTCCTACTCACACTCTAACTATCTAAGAGGAATATAACATACACACACAGTAATCAATTGGGGGATAAGGAACACAAGTCCCAGAGTCTCAGTCTGCAGGTCCAGGAGACAGCATGGTGGGCAAAGGAGTTGTCAGCATCTTGCAAGGAAGGATCTCCAGAGCCAGGTGGGCAGCAGGGCAGGTGAAGTCCTCAGTCCAGCAGGGCAGAGCCTCTGGTGGCCAATGCCAAGGGAAATCAGCGTGGTATGGAGCAGCACTCTGGTGTGTGGAGCTCAGCTGTCTCAGCAGTGGTCTGGAGCTTGCCTCAGTTATACTTCAAAAGCAGTGTACCCCACCCTTCTGAGTCTTTTTGATAAATGTCTTGGTACCTCTGATGCCAAGTGTGGAATTTGCCCAGGATTCTTTATATGGGTGGTCCTGCCCTGCAGACACAGCTACTCTGACCACACATGCTGATATCTTAAGTGTGCCTCCTTGCCAGACACTTCTGCTCTGACTTAGGTAATTTACCTCTTGGACCAAAGTTTCATGGCTGACTGAGAGCCATTTTAGTTAGCATAAGTGATTCCACTTTGCCGTCTTAATCAGACAATTGCCATTGTAGTGGTCCTGCTCTCCACAGAGCCACTTCTGTAGGGAATGTTGAAGGACATGAAATAGAGATAGTTTGAGTTGTAAATTGGTTGGAATGAGCCTACTGGGGAGGCGTTTGGATTAGAAGAGCTCTAGCTTTAGAACTTCCAGTTTTGTAAATCAGATTGTTCATGACATTTGGCATCTGAACTTAGATTAGATCCCAGGGCATTTCAGACAACGTCATCCATTCAGATAATAAGTAATTATTAGGTGTCTATTTTGTGAAAGGCACAGGATAAAATGGAGTTTTTTTTGATGGCCTTCATATTAATTCCACATTTCTTGAAGAATTAAAATTTCCTCCTAATTATGTACCACTATCTGCTAAAGTCTGCTGTTCTGCATTTCCTAGTAACTTGGAGTTTATTTCATTCCTCTGCTGTTAGTCATACTACAGTGATGAATTTCTTTCATACAAGTTTGCTTCCTTTAAATGTTTATTATAGATCTTTATTTTCCTGTAATGACCATTTAGTCACACAATTACTTGCCTAATGCTTGTAGGTCAAGCTGATGGACCTAATTCATGCTCCTTTCCCAAATCCTGACAAAGGATGCCACCATCGTTGTTTTGGACTGATTCTTCTCTCAGAAATCTTCATTATGACTTGAATAAAAGGCTGACCATTTGCACTTATCTCTTGCTCATTCCATCAAAATACTGTAAATATTCTCCTGAGATATTCCACAATTCCTCCACTGTCAGACTTAAAACACTCTTGATTTTCTGTAGCCTATTTACCTCAGTAGTGGCCCTGCTCCCCAAACATACTGTCCATACCTTTCATTTCCTCTGCATTAGTCCATGAACAGTGTCCCAAATTACAGTGTGTACTACTTATTTTTCATACAGGTGACATAATTGTTATAGTTCAGTTTTTGCAATAGATTTTTCTTTCATATAAAGGTTAATTTTATATTTAGGAAACCAAGAAAATTGTTGATTTCCAGATGATTTGAGACCCTGCTTCCTGGCATATGTCATCGGTTTGGCTCAAATAAACTCTGATAAAAATTCACACACACACACACACACACTAAATTGCTGATTTTTAAAACTATTTAGGTGCCTTGAATGTGAACCTTTAAACTAACTTCAAACTGGCTGCAGCTTTTCCAGTATATTACTCTCCAAGCTTTCAAATGCATCATAGGATCAAAACATCTGTAGCAGAAAAGATTCAAATGGCAAGGTCAAAATGTCCTCCTTGACCTTTTTCTTCATCAGCAGAATGGAAATTTAAACAACACATGTTGTTTGAGATGAAGTTTGAGAAGACACCCAGCATCTACCACAGTACACGCTGCTCCCAATGTTTATGTCCCTCCGAGGCCTTCACTGATCCTCAGTTCTATAAAGGAACTATGAGTTTCATCAAATCTAAGAAGTCTGTTGTAAGACAACACTAAAATAAAAAAAAAGAACTGCCCTTTAAACCATGCCATCATACTGTCTTGTAATTTAGAATGTTTTACTTTACTTACTGAAAGTATTCTTTTATACCTATTTAGACATAAATTGTATTATATATCATTCTTTTAAAAAATTAGTGATGAGAGAGAGAGTAAGAGAGAGAGAGAGGCATTGATTTCTTGTTTTACTTATGCATTCATTGGTTGATTCTAGTATATGCTCTGACAAGGGATCAAATCCACAATCTTGGCTTATTGGGACAATGCTCTAACCAACTGAACTACCTGGCCAGAGCTTATATACCATTCTTGTGCATATATACAAAAGAAAATTCCACTTATTATTTTTTATCTTTCCAAATGCATCTCAGTCTTGTGCATTCTTCATTAATGTGAATTTTCCAAGGGAATTCCCTTTACTGCTCAAGTGAAACAAATCAAGTATTCCTCAGACTTCACATGTATACTTCAATTCTCAGTAACATTTTGTTGTTCTTGTTTTTCTAAACAGATTTTCCAATAACATTAGTGTTCAAATAATATCCCTGGGGTTTTCTCCAATCCACTGATCTCAAGAGAAGGTAGGAGTGAAGGTCTGCAGACAACAGTCCAGACTCTTCCATCTTCAGATGGTCCTTAAGGCTGTTAGTCATGCCACCAGGAAAAACAACCACATTCAAGAAAACCCAGGGGATGACAACTGTGTCAGGATCGCTGCTTGGCCAGCAGTGATTTCAGACATTAAAATTATAAAAAAGAGACCTCAAAATGGGTGAAATAAGGTAATACCCACCTTAATTTGCTGAAGTGTGGCAATTTAATTGTGTAGACAGACAGACAGACAATCAATCTATAGTTAGTTACCCATTATATTTCCTTACCCATTTTTTAAAAAAGAGTTTATTTATTTATTTTAGAGGAGGGAAAGGAAGGGAGAAAGAGAGGGAGAGAAACATAAATGTGAAAGAGAAACATCGATCTGTGGCCTCTCATACATGCCCCCTGACCAGGGTCCAAATCTGAAACCCAGATTCCCATCATGAAATCCCATCATGTGCCCTGAATGGGAATTGAACCTGCAATGTTTTGCTTTGTGGGACAATGCCCAACCAACTGAGCCACACTGATCAGGGCTCCTTACCCATGTTTTAAATCTATAAAATTAAAAAGAGAGAGCTTCAAAAAGTTTTTATTTAATGGAGAAATAATCTAGAAAGATTTGTCCATTACTATGTAGAGTCTCCTCCTCAAAAAAAAGAACAGTAGAATAATCATTTTTCATAACTGATTGGGAAAATCAAAGGTAACTTTTCATCTCTAAAGAAATCATTTGTGGACCATCAGCCCCCTACAAGTGTTAGTTCAAATTTTCATGTTCAGTTAATACACTGTGGTATAGAAACATCTCGACCAGTGAGATACTCTTTGTAAAGTACTAGTACATTGATGAAACTGGATATTATGAAACAGTCTCTAAAGAAAAATCACCACTGCCCTGGCTGGTGTGGCTCAGTGGATTGAGCATTGGCCTGCAAACCAAAAGGTTTCTGGTTCAATTCCCAGTCAGGGCACATGCCTGGGATGCCAGCCAGGCCCCCAGTTGCCCCCGCTATGAGAGGCAAAAATAAATGTATCTCTCACACACTGATGTTTCTCTCCCTCTCTTTCTTCAAGTAAATACATATTCTTTTAAAATAATAAAGAAAAATCACCACCCATAACATAATTCAACATCATTGCAACTCTGAAAACTATCTCTCCTATAGACTCTTCAGGAGTCAAGACCTTGTAAAACTGAGAAACTAAGAAACAAAAGTTATATCAGAAAACACTGAACTGAGCCATTTTTTTAGCCTGTTCTGTTTGTTATTACTTTTTGTCTCTCAGTCTCCT